TAGTTTTATTATCGTCGAAGATCCCAGTCGGTCATGTTAGCAATGAGAAAAAATAATGTTTGCCTGTTATGGCTATAAAGAACTTCTAACTTATGTTTCTTTCCTGGGCTACTATTAATAGTTGGTTGAGACAACCGAGTATTCATTTAATTGAAAACTAGATTATTACATTTGGTTTCAATGCGAAAACCTTTATTAAAGTTTGACTAATTACAGTTAAAAAAAACAGCCTCCAAAACTAGCTATTTAATGTTATTTCAAAAATAGTATAGCATTTGTAGGTTCTTTTTACTAAAAACTGAATGATTCCAACTTTTGTCGTTGAAATAATACTCGCGGAATACTACAAATAAGAAATAATATTTTTAAAAGAGCATTAAATAGGCTACTTTTTAAGTTTATTTGCCGATTCAGTCTGGAAGATTTTTTTTCACAGAAATTAGTCAAACTTTAGTAAAGGTTTGCACATTGAAACAAACGCTAATTTTTTTGTTGGCTTTCACTGAACTTAACCAACCATACATGGTAGCCCAGGAGCAAAAATCATAAGTTAGAAGTTCTGTATAGCCATAATAACAGGCAAAAAAGGAGCAAAAAGAGGGATTTTTTGAAAAATATCTCGAAATCTTTTACTGTGGTCATGTTGATTTTATCTGAAGCCAATCTACTTACTCTGGCGTGTTATTTCAGGGGCACCCTGTATACACACAAGCACTACAAACTCCCTAAACAAGTAAAAACGTACTTAACATCACACGCCGTTGCCTCATGATATAGAAAAAAGTTCACGAACGGCACAAAAAACGCGTGGCGTGACGCGACTTGGTAGCGCAGACCGATCGACGACGAGCTACACCGGTAACTGAAGCGAAGCCGCGCAGTACCTTGCCGCAGAAGCGCAGAACCACCCCTCCTTTCCCCTCGTGTCCACTACTCTCCCTAAAGGGGAGTTTACACAGGCATGTCGTAGCGCTTCCGTAAGTTTTATTTGCATCCAACTTGCAAATCTAAACACTAAAATGCACGAAAGTTTAACTTGTAACGCGGAGTTGCATGCTTTAGTTGCTTTCGTGAATAAATTATGTTTTGACAGAAATTACTTGCGCAACTAACACTTGAGCGCTAGTTGTACTTTTCCTGTGTAAACCTGTTGTTTGCAACTACTACTACTTGTAGACGAGTAACGAGTGTTTGGTCATTTTAATAAGGAATGTTGCACAGAAATTATTTTTCTGTATACCATTTGCCCTTTGGTATAGCCTCCTGAAGTTTTGCTGTTTATTTACGAGGCATCTTGTAAATAACAATGAAGACCCCTTAATGAATAAATGCCTGCAGTGCTTCGTATATATAGCAGCACAGACATCAGGAATAAATTTTGAAAAAGTGCATTTTGGTGCTCGATAAAAATAGTTTAGGTAAGCAAAGGAATCTCCTGCAGCCAAATACCTTAACGTAATTTGTAACATATTTTTTGCTGGTAAACTACCCTCATTTTCTCCGTATGCACTCTTTCATATGATCTAACAACTTGTCAAATTTACTTTTTGTAATACGGATGACTTTCCTTTAGATATCTGTGCCTTCTCTCGCCAATTCATCTAATAGTCTTGATCCTCCTAATTGCAACCTTTTTGATACCCAACTTCTTTCCCAACATGACCTTTGTTTTCTCCTTTTCATGTTTGATAGTACACACTCGTTTGCTTCTTCAAAACGCCCTTCGCAATGTAACACTGACTGCAACTCTCGGTATAACCTCCTGAAGTTTTGCTGTTTATTTAAGAGGCATCTTGTAAATAGCAAATGACGACCCCTTCCTGAACAAATGCCTGCAGCGCTTCGTATATACAGCAGCACAGACGTCAGGAAAGAATTTCGAAATAGTGCATTTTGGTACTCGATAAAAATACTTTACGTAAGCAAAGTACCCTCCTGCAGCCAAATACCTTAACGTAATTTCTAACTTTATTTTTGCTGGTATAACTACCCTCATTTTTTCTGTGTGCACTCTTTCCATGATCTAACAATTCGTCAAATTTACTTTTTGAAATACGTAGAACGTTCCTTTAGATATCTCTGTCTCCTCTCGTCAATTCATCTAATAGTCTTGATGCTCCTAATTGCAACCTTCTTGATACCAAACTTCTTTCCCAACATGACCTTCGTCTTCTCCTCTTCAATTTTGGTAGTACATAACTCGTTTGCGTCTTCAAAAAGCTCATCGCAATATAACACTGACTCCAACTCTCACTACAGCCCGAAGGTCTTCTATATAATCCGCCATTCTGCACCAGATGAAGACCTGCACTGACTGAACTTTAAGCAAGTTTCCCTTGCAAAGGTAGGTGTGTAGTGTAAACCTTAACTTGAATGCAAATACCGTTTGCATCAACTTGCTTACTAACGCAAGCGGAATATGCTCGTGTAAAATCCCCTTAACGCTTAGCTAGAGTCGTACTGTTTACACTTGGAAATATTGATGTTTTTTATACATGTACGTCGATTTTTACTACACAACCGATTTTGAATTTTGAATATCATATACAGGGCGTTAGGAGCAAAGCTAGGGATAGGATTATATCAGTGAAATATTAAAAATTACTACATATGTTTAAATGTTCAAAGGATGGGCAAACATTCTAGGATAACTTGTGGTGGGAAAATATGAATCGGTCATTGCAAATACCTTGTGAGTCACATTTTGAATTTGTCGTTAGACAATAAAGGTTATATTACCGTCCAAAAATCCAGTTTTAAGGTACTTTTTGGGCTAAATATAGTTATTCGAGTTCTAAAAGATTGACATTTCGATATCCATTATAGTTTATTTTAATAATAATGGAAAATGCTCTAAAAACTGTTAGATATAGACTTACGTTGTTTTAGCAGGAAATAGGGTTGGCAGTGAACATTTCAAGTTTTTTTCTCTATTCCTTCTTTTTTTTATCTATTGCAATTTAACATACAAATGATCCATGCACAGGCATTGTCCTTCTATGGATAAATTATATTTATTTACTCGTTTCATGTTCCGTGTATTTCAGAGTAGCTAAATAAATATTACTATGACTATTATAATACACAGGGTGTCCAAGATAAGGATCCTATTAAATTAATAAAAAGTTGAAGCTGATATATCAAAAAACTAATGAAACTTTTCCGTTCGTACTTTTTAAGCTCTGCATAATGAATTTTGTGTCCAACGCTTCGTTTTTTAGAAACCATATTTCTTTATATGGTCTGGAAAAAGTACACCCTGTAGCATTTTTTATACGAATTTAACGATGTCATATTGCATTTATTTTTTTGGTTATAAGGATAAAATATGCATTTTTTCTGTTTTTTTTTTACTTTTTTAAGCAGGCGTTGCAAACAAATGCTTGACTTGACGTAAATACCTGTCACCAAGTATTTTTATGTGTATTGGTAGCTTTATTATCATCGAATACTCCAGGCGGTCATGTTAGCAATGAGAAAAAAAATGTTTTTGCCTGTTCTGGCTATAAAGAACTTCTAACTTATGTTTCTTTCCTGGGCTACTATTAATAGTTGGTTGAGACAACCGAGTATTCATTTAATTGAAAACTAGATTATTACATTTGGTTTCAATGCGAAAACCTGTATTAAAGTTTGACTAATTACTGTTAAAAAAAAATCAGCAAATGACCTCAAAAACTAGTTTGAATTTGTCGTTAGTCAACAAAAATTGTATTACCGACAAAAAAAGAGTTTTAAAGTACTTTTTGGACTTAATATAGTATTCGAGTTCTGAATGATTGTCATTTCGATATCCATCATAGTTTATTTTAATAATATAGGAAACGCTCTAAAAACTGTTTTAGCAGGAAATAGGGTTAGTTTTATCATATCATATTTTTCATTGTTTATTATTGAGAATTTCACTTGAATAGTGACTTATTAAAATACCGCATGTTTTAATTGTGCATGTTTAAATATTTTTAATGTTCATAGGGGAAATCGGGAACACCTGGGAGAATCGAATTTCCCGTTTTATATAGGTACTCCTGCATATCATGAATCAACCATAGTGATAAATAATCATACACTTATTCATTCAGCCTATTTTGCTGGATTTCACAAATTTTGAATCTTTCAAATAAACTTTTGACTACGTCTGAAAATATATAAAAAAACGAGTTTAGTTTTAATTCAAAGCACAACTAGTACAGAAGGTACAGGAATACAAACCGCGAATAAGATAATATGTTGTTGATGCATTAGCCGAACATTTTTAACCCTATTGAAGATGTTTGGGGCATAGCAAAGTCCTACAACAACAAATATGTGGGTCGAAATGGCAGAACTGTAGATCGCTGTATCAATTTATGGCAAGAAGCTTTACAAACTGTTACAGTCGGAATTTGGTCAAAATGTGTATCAGATACTAAAAACGAGATTTAGAGATGGTGGGAAAGAGAAAAATATCTAGACCAAGCTGACATTTTACCTATTATTATAAATGTGAATGAGGAAGATAGTGACTAGAACTTTTTTCAAATAAAATACCTATATCTTGCCACTATTATTTATTCGTAAATCTTTGTTCTGAGAATTTTTTATAATAAATACAGGTTTCAATTCAATGTTCATTTTTCTTATACCTAGCTGTTTTAGAATGTTGTGTAATTTAACTTAAATTACAAAATTGTAATAAAGTTAAAATATGATTTGAGTTGGTAGTAAAACTTTCAAATATCTATTTTAAAATTTGTTATCTCTTTCCCTGTAGCCTATTTTTTATATTATTTTCCAAATGTAAGCTAATTTCTGCTTGTCTCAAATACGCACGGTACTGTAATGTTGGTTGCGGTCTAACACTAGCTCTAATGATTACAAAACATATGATCCGTAATGTTGGTTGCGGTAAGGCATCCAACATATAAATTAGATTTTGTAAAACGTCCTAGGATCTAGTAGTTTTAATTAATGTGGCAACCATGTGCGTCACTGTCACTGTCATTATTTGACGTTGTGAGTGTGACGTAATTGCTTCGATTAATAAACTATAGAGATAAATAGTGGTGTTGATTCTCCTTATTTTCGAGTATTTGCATTAAGGTTGGCATTCAAATTTACCAAATATGACGTAACTGCTTTGTTTGAGTGAATAATCTATACAGAAATCTACTGAAAACAGATTGGCTATACCGGGCTAATGACAGATGACAACGTCACTGACACGGTATTTGCCATTTTCTTCTTCAAATTCATTACAGCGTTATAAACAAGTTGAACTTTAAAAGAATAGAATTAGCTGGCTTCTATTTAGGCCCAAATAAGCTGGATGTCGACATCGGTACAGTACATCTTATCATAAGTTATAGTTTTTATTGAACGTGTTATTTCAGGAAAGTAGTGACGTTCACCTAAGCAAAACGTTATGCTGGTTACTGAGACACGGTGCTGAGAAAGAAGGCCTGGATATTAGTGCTGATGGATATATTAAGGTCTCAGATCTATTAAAGCATCACAAACTGAAGGGCAAGTATAGCATAGACGATATAAAGAGGATTGTAGAAACCAACAACAAGCAAAGGTTCTCACTGCGCTGTGGTGAACATAACGAGTTGGAAATCTGTGCGAATCAACAGCATTCACAACAGGTGTGTTCAAAAATAATGTTCGCAATGATAAATATAGTATATTGAGATGAGCATAATAGCATAACTTTGCTTTTCACAAAAGTGAGATATGCCACATTTTAATGACAGATAAATCTGATGTCTTTGACACTGAGACATGGGATTTTTGTCTTCAAACTCATTAAAATTGTAAATGAACAAGTTGAATGGTAAAAGGCAACAAATAATTATTAGGCTTCTACTTAGGCTCAAATGAATTGGATGTTTATGTTGGTACAGTAACTTCTAATGTAACTTACCATTTTAATTACAGAGAAGAGGTAACGTTGACGCTCAGCTAAGCAAAACCCTGTCTAGGCTCCTGAGACATGATGCTGTTAAAGAAGGCCTTAGGATAAGTGCTGATGGATATATTGGGGTCTCAGATCTATTAAAGCATCCCAGTCTGAAGGGCAATTTTAGCCTAGATGATATAAAGAGGATTGTAGAAACCAATGACAAGCAAAGGTTCTCACTGCGCTGTGGTGAACATAAAGAGCTGGAAATCTGTGTGAATCAACAGCATTCACAACAGGTGTGTTCAAAAATAATGTTCGCAATGATAAATATAGTATATTAAGATGAGCATAATAGCATAACTTTGCTTTTCACAAAAGTGAGATATGCCACATTTTAATGACAGATAAATTTGATGTCTTTGACACTGACACATGGGATTTTTGTCTTCAAACTCATTAAAATTGTAAATGAACAAGTTGAATGGTAAAAGGCAACAAATAATTATTAGGCTTCTACTTAGGCTCAAATGAATTGGATGTTTATGTTGGTACAGTAGCTTCTAATGTAACTTACCATTTTAATTGAAAGTTTCATTTACAGAGAAGAGGTAACGTTGACGCTCAGCTTAGCAAAACTCTGTCTAGGCTCCTGAGACATGATGCTGTTAAAGAAGGCCTCAGGATAAGTGCTGATGGATATATTGGGGTCTCAGACCTATTAAAGCATCCCAGTCTGAAGGGCAATTTTAGCGTAGATGATATAAAGAGGATTGTAGAAACCAATGACAAGCAAAGGTTCTCACTGCGCTGTGGTGAACATAAAGAGCTGGAAATCTGTGCAAATCAACGCCATTCACAACAGGTGTGTTCAAAAATAATGTTCGCAATGATAAATATAGTATATTGAGATGAGCATAATAGCATAACTTTGCTTTTCACAAAAGTGAGATATGCCACATTTTAATGACAGATAAATCTGATGTCTTTGACACTGACACATGGGATTTTTGTCTTCAAACTCGTTAAAATTGTAAATGAACAAGTTGAATGGTAAAAGGCAACAAATAATTACTGGCTTCTACATAGGCTCAAATGAATTGGATGTTTATGTTGGTACAGTAACTTCTAATGTAACTTACCATTTTAATTACAGAGAAGAGGTAACGTTGACGCTCAGCTAAGCAAAACCCTGTCTAGGCTCCTGAGACATGATGCTGTTAAAGAAGGCCTCAGATTAAGTGCTGATGGATATATTCGGGTCTCAGATCTATTAAAGCATCCCAGTCTGAAGGGCAATTTTAGCTTAGATGATATAAAGAGGATTGTAGAAACCAACGACAAGCAAAGGTTCTCACTGCGCTGTGGTGAACATAAAGAGCTGGAAATCTGTGCAAATCAACGGCATTCACAACAGGTGTGTTCAAAAATAATGTTCGCAATGATAAACATAGTATATTTAGATGAGCATAATAGCATAACTTTGCTTTTCACAAAAGTGAGGTATGCCACATTTTAATGACAGATAAATCTGATGTCTTTGACACTGACACATAAGATTTTTGTCTTCAAACTCATTAAAATTGTAATATGAACAAGTTAAATGGTAAAAGGCAAGAAATAGGATTATTAGGCTTCTACTTAGGCCCAAATGAATTAGATGTTTATGTTGGTACAGTATATTCTAGTGTAACTTACCATTTTAATTGAAAGTTTCATTTACAGAGACAAGGTGACGTTGATGTTCAGCTCAGCAAAACTCTGTCTTGGCTTCTGAGATATAGTGCTGTTAAAGAAGGCCTCACGATTAGTGCTGATCGATATATTAAGGTCTCAGATCTGTTACAGCATCGCAAACTGAAGGGCAATTATACCATAGATGATATAAAGAGGATTGTAGAGACCGACACCAGGCAAAGGTTCTCTCTGCGCTGTGGTGAACATAAAGAGCTGGAAATCCGTGCATATCAACGGTATTCACTACAGGTGTGTTAAATAATAATGTTGGCAAGGTGAAATATGTAGTATATCAAGATGAGCATATAATTTTTCTTTGCTTTTCACAAATGTATGGCATGCCACATTTTTAACCAAAAACTAAAAACAGTCTCAATAGTTCTTTAATTTGATTTCTTACAACTACTTCTTTCAGCAATACTGACATTTTATATCTTTTCCTCAACCCATTTTATTTTGCAATCTGCCTCAGCATGTGGACATTTCTCTGTATAAACTTGGTAGCTCACAGTCCAGTTTTAAAACTAACAAAACTGTCTCATTTGCTTTGAAACTTTTGTTAGCATAGTGTGTGTGTGTGTAAAGTAATGGTAGATAAATCTAATGTCTTTGACACTGAGAAATGGGATTTACTTAGGCCCAAATAAATTGGATGTTTATGTTGGTACAGTATCTTCTACTATAACGTACCACTTTAATGGAAAGATTCATTTACAGAGAAGTGGTGACGTTGACGTCCAGCTCAGCAAAATTCTGTCGTGGCTGCTGAGGCATAGTGCTGTTAAAGAAGGCCTCAGGATTAGTGCTGATGGATATATTAAGGTCTCAGATATATTAAAGCATCGCAAACTGAAGGGCAAGTATAACATAGATGATATAAAGAGGATTGTAGAAACCAACAACAAGCAAAGGTTCTCACTGCGTTGTGGTGAACATAGTGAGCTGGAAATCTGTGCGAATCAAGGGCATTCACTACAGGTGGGTTGAATAATAATGTTAGCAAGGAGAAATATATAGTATATCAAGAGGCATTTCCGCTCCCAAAAGGAAAAAATGACTCCTTTGAAATGTCGAAGTACATTCTAGTGTTTTAGATCCATAAACAATGCAATTGCAACATTTTAGTCGAAGATTACGCCGGTGTGTTACGACAACAGTTGTGGGTGGGTTTTGGTGTTTTCTGAACGATGGACGAGGGTTACATATTTGGTACATTAAAGGGAGGCTAGACGTCCTTCAGGGAGAGGGAAGGTCCACCCCAGCCAGTCCTGGGCTGCGCTGGTTTTGCAGGGTAATTTGTAATGATGATCAATCTCGACATCTTGTGGATATTTCAGAATACTTGTATTGTAGCAACACATAAAGAAAGTAGTTTAAACACATGTGGTTTGATTGGCGAGACAAATGGGGATTGTCTGTTGTATGTTTCTAAATGTTAAGTTTAAGCTTTCTGCCTTGGAAGTTACCGACTTTACTTATTGAAACAAAACGAATTCACAGACTGTCAACTTCCAAGTCATAGTTATCTAACTAGTTAACCAGCAATTGAAAAACCGGGCTTAATAGTTTTTTTTTTTGAATTAACAGTATTATTATTATATTACTATTATTTTTATAATATTACAGTGTGTGACAGAGACAGCCTTAAAACCTTTAACTGATACTGATGTCAACATAATCCATGGTACATACTACAAGCAATGGGAAATTATTAAATCCCAGGGTTTGAGCCGTATGTCAAGGAACCACATCCATTTTGCCACAGGCCTTCCAAATGACGCAACTGTCATCAGTGGTATTAGAGCATCTGCAGAAGTTTTTATCTATATAGACTTGAAGCAAGCCCTTTCTGATGGAATCGAGTTCTTCAAATCAGTCAATAATGTCATCCTGAGTCCTGGCGATGATAATGGTATAATCAAACCTAAATACTTTCACAAAGTTGTTGACAAGCACAATCGAAAATTATTTTGAAAATGACTGACATCATAGACTTGACAAATGACAATACGCAGGAAGGTGAGGAAGTTAACAATGGTGAAGACAAAAATGATCTTCCAAAAATAAGTAATCCAGACCTGTGGTGTGAGTACTGTAATGTAGAGCTACCTGATATGGAAGGGATGTATAAGCATGTGACTGAAAGGAGACATGGTAAATTCTATTCAACAGCTTGCAGTGGAATGAAAGAGAAACAGAATCGTGGTGTTTATGTTAGAGGTAGGCATTCTATTTGGCTTGATGAAAATGACATGTAAACTTGTCTGTACTATGTGCCTTATATAGTTGGTATGTCGCTTCTTCTTTTGAATATTATTAGAGTAATGGAAAGATATTGTTTAAGTTAGAATTCTGAAGTCCCATGTCAGAATGCTGCATCGTATCATTCAAGACATCCCATATTGTCAGCTGACAGTGGTGTTCAACATACAACTTCAGACTTCTTAGAGTTAGAGGCTGTGCGGTAACCTTCACAATTTACAATTCTGGTAGCATGTAACATTCAGTATTACTTTTAGCATATAAGAAGATGCCGATGCATTTTTTCTACGGATTTTGGAATTCTCGCATTTCGCACGTTGTTTTTTTGTTCAAATCGTATATGTATAAATAAATAATAGTTCACAATTGCTTTCTTGTTTTTAAGGATACTCTGAGAAGGATAAAGATATGCTTATAAATTACTTCTCTAAAGATGGGCGTATTGTATTTGCACACTTTGGATATGATTTTATGCTCTTTGACTATTCGGACCCATCTTGTGCAGCACAAGTTGTTAGTAGGAGGAGGCATTTTTTTGAAGGAAATCTGCTTTTGGTCAAATACAGGGAGAATCAACACCCAAGTAAGTTTCTGTACAATTTTTATATTTATTATTTTAGAAATTCTGAACATTTTTAAGGGTAATCAAACATCTTTGTGTAGAGGTTACAATTTTTGAAAATCTCGAAAATTTCATCATTTGTGATTGCTTCAGATCAGGGCATATTCCCAAACATTATGGAGCTTAAGCGTTTTGTTTCTTTAGCTTATCTTGACTAATGGAAAATTTGAAAATAAGGTTGAATGTTCGAAAAGTACCGACTCAATCTACTTGCCACTATTTTTTTTCGAATTTTTTTATTTACCTATCCACAGCAGGAGACGATTTAATTATTATATTCAGCCTCTCAAGTGCTTGACAGTCAAAGTTGCCTGATAGTATCCTCCAACAACTGAGGTAAGACATTGTAGTTTCCTAAATATGGGGCTGAGATTCTAGGTTAGAAAACGCCAAAGAATCAATGCTTGATTTTTTGCACCATATTTAGTGAAAATAGTGTCAAGGGCTTAGTGTCAAAGTACGATGTGAAATACTGGAAACACTGTCAATGATAAACTATCACCCATTCCTTGGACTAAAATATTTTTTTCTGTGACCGGAAAAAAGTTTGGCATTTTATCTCTGTTAACAGGTAACAAAATGTCATTTTTCATGAAATCACTTTTTTCCCCGTGAAAAAAAAAATGAGTACTTTTTTCCCGGATATTGCATAAACGATTTAGCTGGCAATAATTTTTGTCACGTTACTTTGGCTACTTCTACTAATTCCGGTGGGGCCAAAGAAAACTAAAAGATAACTCCTAAACAACCACTAAGTTCAAAATTTTTAAATTAAATCACAAAATTAAATTGACAGCTATTTGATTACTTTAAAAGTTTAACCTTAGCAAGGCAGGTCTAATTGTAGCTATAGGTAAGTACAATATAGCCTACTAATGTCAAAATTCAAATTTTGAAATCATATAATTTTTCAATATTAAATAGTTTTTGCGGTTACAGAAAAAAATTGTGTATTATACACGGGTAAAATACTAGTTTTTAGCTTGAGGTTGTATTGTCTCCCGATGCGCAGCTTTTTTCCCTTGTATAATATATGTTTGCTCGAGGCTTTGCTAATAGTTTTGAGATTTTTCAGAAATGAATGTAAGTACATAAGAATACTTACAAAAACGTTAGAATAGTGCACGTTTCTGTAAATTTCTTTTTATAATAATGTATTAGAGGGTGGCCAAGATAAGAATCAGACGAGGTAAAATTCAGTAATCACACAATCTTACATCAAGCATTTGTTTGCAACGCCTGCTTGAATAAAATGAAAAAATAGAAAAAACATGTTTTTTTATAACTGAAAAAAACAAATGTAACGTGTTACATCATTGTCGTAGAAAAAGATGCTATTAGATACAGGGTAGTACTTTTTTTGGATCATATAAAAAAGTTGATTATGGTTTATCAAAAACGAAACGTCAGGCACAAAACTTAACAACACCATCATGTAGTGCCTAAATAATGCCATTAGTTTTTTGATATTTCTCAAAAGAAAGTCGGACAAAAATAAAAACGATTTGGCCAAATTTTAGTTTTTCCCAAATGCCTCAGTACATGACTAATCTCTCTTTGTATGCAATGTGCGCAATTTATTTAAAAAACACACAAGTAGATGAGTATACAAGGCTCACCCAGTTTGCTGCACAGATATCCTATTTCTCTCAGAAAAATTGGAAGTAGACCTAATTTCCACTTTGGAGACACTTGACACTCACTTCACAACACCAAAGCACCACTGAGAGACAATCAAGAACCCTACAGTGAATGCCACCACTGAAAACAAGTTGCTAAACCGAATACAGCTCTTCACGGAGCTGTGAACGCGTAGACATCCCGCTGCGTTGACGGTGCCCGAGAGACTGAAGCGTGTGAGTGCTGTACCTCGCTGCGGCGATACGGTACAGCCACGCCCCTCTTCAGCTCCCACTCCGCGACTCGGGCAAGTACGACGGCCATACGCCGAGCCCGATGCGCTAACGTAGCATCAGCGCGCGCACGAGCAATAGCTTTAATGAGCGATTTCACAGAGGACTGACGGTTAGTTGCGTACCGGCAAGCGTGGTTGCCGTTGCTTGTCCGTGCACGTTTTGTGAGCATACTATTATTAAATTTACTGGAGTACAAAGTCATATTCCTGCGACTGTTCAACATGGTATTCAAATTTGAACTGACGTTGCCTGTGAAATGAGTACGCCCAAAGTATCTTCAGAGCCGACCATACGCTCCATGTGAAACGGCTCTAAATATCGAGTCGCTTCGTGATTTTGTCAGATAAGAAAACTAAAAGAAAGACCAAAACAACGTTTTTACTACGATCTCGTAGTTAAAAAGGTTCTGAATAACTCATTGAAAACTAGACTAATCATATTAGCAAATTTCCCCGAAATAATTGTAAAATCGTGTTTTATTAATGCAAGCGGGTATTTTAATTAATTTCGAAAAGAGGGTTAAAAATAGGAAGCATGCTACTATTATCTAACAATACAACCTAAGGAATTTTTAATTTAGCGTACGATTTGCAGAAGATGCAAATTTTACGCTTTGTATGAGCGTCCGTGGGATCTGAAAAATGTATAATTAAATAAATATAACACTAACTTTATAGTCCATGCCATTAATTGCTGATATTTTGAATGAGTATTTGCATGCGATTGTGGCATTGTTCAGCCTAAGCTGAACACAAATGATGATTAGTAATAAAATGTCTTGAATTGCTACAAATATAAAATAGTACACTACATACCTGCTACATTGATTTGATTTGATTAGTATAAACATTGACTTCAGATAAAAGAGTTGAACACTTTAGAAGTGAAGCTGGAGAATTAATGATTAAAGTCTGTTGACTCCAGAATCCTATCAAGGTACTTTTATTTTAGAACCGCATCCCCAAATCACTGAAGAACCTCCTGACGATCAGTCTGAGCTTTTAAATTTGCTCAGGCTGCAACCGACTCTGAGTCAACAAGCAATGCAATTACGTGTCTACCAGCTGCAGAACATTCAACAACAGTACAGAAATGTATACAGAATCGTCGCTGAATTAGGGAGTGTCTTGGTTAGAGCGTTTCCAGAATGTGTGGTAAGCTGGTTACTGAGAAACGTCGTTAGAACGTAGACATTTGCTATGTATGTACTAGCATTGCATTTCGGCGGGCAAAATGGGATATGAAAGATACTAGCGCCATTTATGAGACAACAGAACACGAAAATGAGTCTAGAAGCCTGCTGAGATTGTTTGATTCTGCTCCTGTCTCGATGGTGCTTGGACAGGGTGGTCACGAACTCATTTTTCTGATTATTATTTTTATGCATTTTTTTAAAATAGATACTTATTTTACTCATTTGTTTGGGACGTTTAAAAAGTATATCAAATTAGCATGAAAGCAGTAAATCAATTTATCAAAGGAAACATCAGTAGTTTTCAAACTACACTGCTTTAATGCTCTTCTCGGTATTTAGTTTTTTATGTACTAATCCCATTATTAGTGAAGAAGTATTTATTGTTATAAAAAATTAATTTTGCCCCTAAAGAATAATTTTGAAAAATATCCTTTTTTTAACTTAACATCTAAGAAAACATACTGTTTCATGTTCATTTATTTTTGATGAATCTGAAGTTGAATTATAGACATTGGAAATATTTAGTTTTGTGCAATTTATGTGAATTTCATATGAATAGAAGTGTTACACCCAGAAAAAATAATTTCTTCAACTTGATTTTTTGGCAATGAGGTGGTATTACATCAAGAATGAAACGATAACATTCTCACGAAATTTTATGCACAATAAGAAAAAAAATAATGTGTAGGGCGACCCCGCATCTGAATACACTCCTGTATACGTCTAGGCATCTATAAAATGAGATGATGGATGTGGCAATAGTCTATGGCGGATGGTGCAAAATGAATAGTTTCCTCCTCATCATACCCCACACATGTTCGATGGGATTTAAATCCGGTGACCGGGGTGGCCACAGCAAAATATTAACTACTGCTTCTTGAAGAAAGCCTGTAGTATCACGAGCAATATGGGGAGGTGCTTTGCCTTGCTGAAAAAGGACGGCCTTCTAGATGCGGCAGTAAAGTGATTTGTAGTGCATAATCAACTTAACGCGCAACTCCTTGAACAAAGAGAAGGGGTGATCGGATACCATAGGCAACAGCCCCCCAAACAACTACCCCAACAGTCCTGTGTACATGCCTCTCAACAGCAAATCTAATATTACGCCGTTCTCCACGGCGGCGTCTACGGCCATCGTGCGTACCTACATAGAATCGCGATTTGTCGCTGAAGATGTCATTATGACGTTGGCGACAGTGGTCCGCAGTCAGAGGAAGCACTAACCGTGGTCTAAAGGCTCGAATGCGGCCATAGAGTGTACTCATAGTAACGGGTTTACCTTCTTGTTCAAACCATTGGTCAACGATTTGAGGCCTAGTAGCAAAACGGTCTCGTGAGGCTGACCTGAAGCGCCTATCTTGAGGCTCTGTGGTAGGCCTCGCCAATAGCTAAAAATATCTGTACTACTCACCTCTCAGGAACTGATTTCTTCACAAAAACTAAGTGATAACATTTTAACAAAGGTTAACAACATGTTGCCACAGCATGCTTCAAATATAGTCATTATGTTGCCAAAAAAACAAGTTGAAGACATTATGTTTTTTTGGATTATGGAAACTAGAAAAAAGCAATAAATTTGTTTTTGCAGGGTATAAAAGCTGTAAATCACATCTTACTGCGTTTTGGTTTACGATAATTAAAGACCGAATGCTATTTATTTTAGGTCCCGACAACAACTATGATCCGAAATCACATTTAAAAGACTATAAAGTCATGTAATATTAATTCACTTTTGCTGTGATGTGATAATACCATTTATTCAGTTCGAAAGAATTTTGAACTCAATTTTTCATGATTTCTAGGTACACCCATTTGGATCAATGGCTACTGGACTTTGTTTCAGAAACAGCGACTTGGATTTGTATATTTCTGGCATTAGGCGAATGGGTGCAAACGATGTACCGCTGTTGTTTAGGCTGAAAAAGATGCTGTTAGATTCGAATACGTTCCGGTATGCAACCTATTTGAAAACATGTTTAATAAAAGTTTAAAATAAAATTTATTCCAGGTACGTCTTAGTAATAGCAAATGCCAAGATCCCCATAATGAAATGCATCCACACTGCCACAGATACCCATTGCGACATAAACCTTAGGAACATGTTGGGCGTTTGTAATTCTCAACTGATCAAGTACTACATGTCTCTGGATCCAAAGCTGACCGATTTCATGTTCATCATCAAATATTGGGCCAAAATACATAAGTTCACTGGCCAAAATTCACTCTTCACCAACTACAGCTTCGCTATGATGATTATTTATTTCCTGCAGCAACGCCCTTACAGTTTTTATTCTGTGCACGAGCTCCAGCGGGATTATAGGTATGTCACTTTCCCATATTCAATGCTCCACCAAATCACTTATTTGTACAAGCGATGCACAATCAATTCATCCAAAAGGAATCTCTACTAATATCTCGGTGACATTAGAAGTGTTACACCTAGAAAAAATAATTTCTTCAACTTTTTTTTGCATGCTGTGGCAACAATGTCAACGTTTTATCTTTGTTTTTGTTTACCTTTGTTAAAATGTTATCTCTTAGTTCTTGTGCAAACAGCAGTTTCTGACAGCTGAGTAGTACAGATATTTTCAGGCCCGTGGACTAAAAAAGAAGGCAATTACTTTGGAAAAAAATGTCCTTGCATGAGACTCGTTGTTCCTAAAATTGTTCGGCTATTAAACCTGAAAACTAGAAGCTTAAAGCTTCAAAGTGCCTTTTTAAAGTTTATTCTCCGAAATACAACCCTGTCAAAAATTACCGAAAAATTTGAATTTTTGTCTTGCTCCCTTAATTTTTTTAGTGTATCTCCTATTTTTTCCTCATACCCAGGTTCGACAACATCCAAGATGGATGGAACGGCGGATTCGAACCTCGACCTTTGACCGCACAGATGCGGCAGTGTATCGGAGGTGTGAATTTGATCGAACTTCTCACCGATTTCTTCCTGTTCTACGCCAACTTCGATTACGAAAAGATGGTCATTTGTCCGTATCTAGGGCGTGAGGAGCGTATTTTGAAAAAATCAGATTTTGAGAATCCACAGACTTTACCAGTCTTCCTCATGCCTTACAAAATGTACATGACCTCACAAGGGGCAGTTCCGTTCAAGCATCAAGCTGTCGTTTGCATTCAGGATCCTTTCGAGCTGTGCAGGTAACACCGATAAACACAGGATTTGTGATATGACAATTTTTGGGCGTATCTTATGTATTTTGAGACCCTTAAATCAAATCTAAAAACAGAATTTTTCTATCACCCACAGTTATTCGGTAACATCTACGAAGTTTATTTTGGAATTAAAGTTGGCGACCAAGATAAAGTATGGGCCTCTCATATATGTTGTAAGACTTGTGTAACGTTATTAACAGGTTGGTTAAGAGGCGACAATCGTAAAATGCCCTTTTGCAGTACCAATGGTTTGGAGAGAACCGAGAGACCATACTACAGATTGCTATTTGACCAAAAACGCAACCTACTGTTATATATTTATATATTATACCATACTCCTTTCTCTCCTTCAAAAATTTCTAGATTACACTTGTCCCGTGTCAGCGTCAGCGCTCTCCTATTGTGAAGATATGTTTTCTTTTTAAATTATAGGAAATTTCAGGCTGATAAAACATGATATAACTCAAAAGCAAGCACAATTTGATGCAAATAGATGTTTGTGAGATAACCTCAAAATAGAGCGCTGACAGGGTGAAGTAGAAAACTATGACAATCAAGGAGGCCATAAAGGTGCCCTAAAATTGTAGAGACGACTGACGATACGGGCCTTAGTGAGGCAAAAATTAAAGAGGGCATATTTGTGGGTCCACAAATACGGAAAATCATGAAGGATGATATATTTGACAGTGCTCTAAATGAAACTGAATTACGAGCTTGGAATGCTTTTAAATCAGTTACTGCAAATTTTTTAGGCAATGTGAAGGCGGACAATTATAAAGATATTGTAAGTGAACTAATTAATGCTTATAAAGGAATGGGATGTAACATGTCTAAAAATTCACTTTTTGGATTCTCATCTTGTTTTTTTCCGGAAAATTTAGGTGCGGTAAGTGATGAACATGGCGAACGGTTTCACCAAGACATTTCTGCTATGGAAAAACGGTATCAAGGCAGATGGAGTGCCAATTTGCTTGATGATTATTGCTGGAGATTGTTAAGCTTCAGGAGCAACATATCGCCGTAAAACATCGACAACAACATTCTGCGAATAATGTTTGTTCGAGTGTTTATTAGTACTCTTACACACATATCCTCATACAGGGTGTCCGCAAAGTTGGGGTTTTCCTTTACCCGACGTGTAGATCTTGAAAACATACGCAATTTTTCTCAGTACCATATACACCAATGTCTTAAGGGAACCGAGATAAAGGGCTCTGCAACATCAAAAATATCTGAATACCGTCCTGTAGCCGCGACATCCCCGAGTAGTTCAACCCGACGACAGAACTGGGTCGGGGTCAGTGTGTCAGGTCAGTATGCAACCTTCAACCGACGGTTACGGTCACGCGTGTAGAGGTAATCGCGTAGACGAGAATCCCTCAACAAGCACTAGAGACGTGGCTGGAGAAGTGCAAGTATCAAAAACTAAAGTGTGGCAAACGCTGCGTGAAGAGGGGCTGTATCCGTTTCACGTCCAACGTGTACAAGCCCTTCAACCTGACGATTTTCCAGCAAGAGTGCGGTTTTGTGAGTGGTTGTTGCATCAACATGACAATAATCCGGACTTTTTGAAGTGCATGTTGGTGACAGACGAATCTACGTTCACGCGTAATGGGGTGAATAACTTTCGCAACACTCATGTTTAGTCAGTAGAAAATCCGCACGCTGTCCGTCGGGCACATTTTCAACAAACATTTTCGGTGAATGTTTGGGCTGGCATGGTGAACGGTATGCTCATTGGACCATTTATTCTCCCAAATCGATTGGACGGGATGCAATACCTAGACTTTTTACGCAACATTTTGCCTTCCTTGTTTGCCTGCGTCTGCTCGGTAGCGCATCAGCTGATTTCATTTTCTGTTGGAGCGGTATGATTTCGGGCAGAGACGTACTTAGCTCTTCTCGTCAACTGGAGAGTGAGTACTTTTTCCTTTATTTTTTTTTTACTTGGTCGCCCTCGTTTCACTACACATTACCTTTGTTATTTCAAGGGTAGTTGTTTCTGAAAAGGAAAACCCAAACTTTGCGGACACCCTGTATTTTACGAGTATAAGCAGAAAATAAAATGCCTTATTGTAAGAAAACTGTGGGTGATAGAAAAAATCGAATGCTATTTCCGGCTTTTTGGTTATGTTTCACATCATAACCACCTTGTTTTGTCCATGTCACAAAAAATTATTTCAATCTTGTTCACCAGTCTAATTTAAAACATCACGAGGAATTTTTACATTGCTTTCAATTCGACCTTAGGGAATATGCATGTGATTCAAATATCCGTTTTTTATTTTTATTTACATTCTATATTGCTGCAGAAAGCTTTATAACTTTGTACTCAAGCGGTACAAAATTACGAGTATTAATTAAAGAAAAAAAATAGAAAAATCGATCTGCCAATCTCCGTTAAATTGACACTTATGTTGACAGCTTCCATAACTTCACTTACTTTGCTCAGATTATATTTTCCTCCGTGTAGAGGTTCGATACTAGCGGCCATTGAGCAAAGCTAATGAAACTTTTGAACGTCAATTCTAAATTTAAATTAAATCTCCTTGACACTATATTCCATTTCACAGAAACATCACGCCAATAATATCTGAAACCACATTGAAGTTCTTCATATCCTTCTGTCATCTGGGCGTAGAAACACTCTACGCCGGAGAAAAAGAAGCTCTGTACAAACTGTTCACAGCCCGTCCTGCGGCGTATAGCGAGGCTTTGATCGCCCAGAATAGTCTCACGAAGCAAATCGTCATCAATATGGACAAGAATTGCAAATATTTGAGGTAAGTCAAATTATCAGCAAAATTATGTCCTAAATGCGGTCTGACTAAATTAAGCACATTATTTTCATATCCTGACAGATGGCCTATAGACCATAATGACAAAATGAAAAGGGGTTGTACCGTTTTATACAGGATGTTCGGTACATAAATAGACATTAGTGAAAGGGTAGGTAGTATGGACCGAGACCTTTTCATATCTGAAAATAGAAATGTATTAAACTTAGTGCTTACGGATATACAGGATGATTTCTATATCTTCCAAATCGTTAATATCACATATCTTAGGCACAATTGAACCGATTTTGTTGAAATTATGAAGTTACCTAAGAGTAACGTAAAACTAGATGGGAGGTTAAAACGTTCATTGCAGGACTAGATTTTTTCAAAATTTTGCTTTTTATCAAAATTAACGCAGTTTAAATTGGATATTGAAATACATATTTGAATAAGTACAAAAAAGCCAGTGAATGGTACTAATTAGCAAAATAGATTGATTGCTCCTCTTTTAGTTTTTTAGTTGAACATATTTATTTATTCAGATATTTTATTTTTACCATTTTTTTCTGACACAAAACCAAAAATTTCAAAGGTTATGAACTTGGCTTCATCAACATTTTACAACATAATTTTTAAATTTGAACTTGATTTGTTTTGGGAACTCAAAATTACAGGATTGGATTCTCTTTTTTTATTTCTTCGTATTTCAACTGCAACGATACTCTTGAATTTATCATCAGTCCACATCATTTAGTTTTTTCAATATTTTTTTTATGATTGATGTTATACAACAATATGGGTCCTGCTTTAAAGGGAAGCGGCATTTAGTATGCAATTCCAGATCAATTCGAAATTATGATGAAAATGTAGAAAACCCGCACATTACTTCAAGGTCGAGATTCAGTGTTTTCTGCATAGTTACGATTATTTGCTCTCGCCACCAACCTACGTTATATTTAGTTACATAATGTACATCACACATTAAGACTTTGAAACTACGTTTTTGTGAATTTTTAACTTAATTTTAAGTTGGCCCGGAAGGTCAAGTTTTGCGGATTGCATATCAAATGCAGAATTTATGTGGTTGTACAAAATCAGTTGGTAGAATTTAATCATTAAAACAATTAACGGAAAAAGTAAATGGGATGCATAACATTAATTTTCTAGTTTACTCAAAATTCTAATGTCAGATTCAGTTTTTTTTTGTTTCCTTGTATTTCATTAAGTGCGGCGCGAAATGTTAATAAATTTAGAGTATAACTTAAAGAGCGTCGCACTTGATGAAATAAGGAAAAAAAAGGAATTCGATATTAGAATTTTGAGTTTCCTATCCGTCTTTGGTTCAATTTTAAGCACTATTTTGTGAAATTTTAATGAATGAGTTAAATGTCACATAAACTGCTAAAAAACATTTTTTATACTCGAATACGCTTTCCTTCTTTTTCCAGTTTTTATTCATTATTTTTTCTTTGCTATTTGTTATGTACCTTTCTCCGCATGATCCTTTCTTTTTTTGTAGATCCTTCTGGCTATTATACCACAATGCGTAGGTTGGCTTTGTTAGTGACTTCGAGTGTCGTTTTGTTCGATTTCCATCTTGGTTTCCTCAGGTTTCACCCGTTTCCGGCTGTATGAGTATGCGTGTCTACTTTTGTCGTTACATACAGGGTGTTCATTTGAAAACTTCCCACCACGGATTTATCGAAAAGCATTGATTAGAAGAGAAAACGCCGATACATATCAAAAGATTCGTCAAGGGGAACAACTTTTTAACCAAAAGCTACTTCAACTCCTTCCAGCCTTGGCCCCAGGGTCATTCCTTTAAAAATTTTGAATGACAAGGAGTATCGAGTAATAGCTTGTTTGCAAGGTCTTTCGAAAACCCTTATTTGGACGTTTGATTTTTAAAATCGGATTGATGGTATTTCCCCTTAAAAAAAAGTACTTGAATAAACAAAAATGTTTAATAAAAAAAGGCTCAATCCACCTAATTTGCTAACTATCACCATTCATTGGGTTTTTTGTACATTGTGTGATGATGTTGATTTTGATAGAAATCAAAAAAGCGAAAATAAATCGTAGTCCAGTCCTGGAGTGCGATGACGAAATAACAGGTTTTCTTCAGATTTTTGATATTGTGACTAACCTATCTCGGACGAAAACGTATCCACTATTTAAATCAACTTTTTATATTAAAGGAAGAAGATAGACAAGAATGCTCCTGACAATCAGTTAGCGCTGAAAATCGCGTGGTTCGGGACATTGAAGAGTTTCTTAAAGACTGTGTTAAAGGATATTTTGAGATTGAGTTTGGAAGAATTGGCCGTTGAGAGGAACGCCAAGCATATGAAGACAGAGGGGCAGAAAGATGTGCACAACAGGAATTTGGATGCAGTGTGTTACAGGTGAGTATATTTTTTGCTGTTTTTTCAAAACTTCTAAATTTAGATGGTACTTTATAACTCTATACCATCTTCCAATCCAGTTGCTTTGAAGTTCAGATAACTCAAGAAACTGCAAATAAATAGGAGTTGAATGACTCGCTAACGTGCGGAATTATTGTCTTTCTCCATTATACGGGGTTGTCCAATAAGTACCACGACAAACTTAAGGAGAAGGTAGGCTTTGGGCTGACCTCCCAAATAACAAAAACTTACCTAAATAAAAGTATTTATATAAATTTAAAAAAAAATGAATCTGTTAATCTGTGGTCTTTAGCTGCATGTACAAATAAGGTTATACTTTGTTCAGTTTTTCTATAAAATACTTCTAGATAGTTGCTTCATCATATACAAATGCAATGTAGTTAAAACATACGTATTAAGGAACCATGACCAAATAAGGGCTATTTTGGGATTTATAACTTTCTGATATGTTTTTCTCAACTCTGACCATCTGTGGTGAAACAAAAATGTACTGGGCTATAACTGCATTATATTGAATAAAAAGATTGCTCATTGAATACAGATTTCAGAATGGCACTACACATACTATTTGGGATAGAAAAAGTGATAGCTGCTTTGGTAAGCGACTGATACACACTACAATGTAATTATTGGATTTAAATTCAAGTTGCACTGGTTACCGATCAGTGACATGCAAAATAGTAACAATACAAAAGAATTATTTTTGGAAAGACAGGTTAGCGTGAAATAAAGCACAAGTTGTTTGTTGAAAAAAATTATTGATTTATTGACAAAATATGCTCAAATTCGTGACCTCCTACTCTTAATACAAGCTCGGCATCTGAGGCGCTTTTAGAGTTCTGTTTTTTCTAAATTTAAGTAAAAATTCATTATCTCAAAAACGGTGACACTTTTATATAGATAAGTTTTTGTTATTTGGGACGTCAGTCCAAGGCCTACCTTCTCCTTAAGTTTGTCGTGGTACTTATTGGACACCCAGTATGAGATATATCGATTTTCCTGTATACTACTTTGACTGTACTCACTTTGTCACAAAACTTCCTTACCCTGCACGGAACCCTGACAAGACTCAGCATGAACTACTGCTCACGTGTCTGGAACGCTAATTCCCCGGTTACGCCGTCCAAATTTGATGTTGTGAGCAATCCGACAACTCCTGACAGGCGACCTCACACATCGGCGGGCTTGTTTATAGCAGAGTAGTGCCATACAGTGTTAGATTCTACTGAATTTAAGTTCTGCCGTTCTTCATTAGCCCGTATTTATAAAAATGAAGCATTTACTTTGAAGTAAAAGGTACAAGCAAAAGGTAGAAGTAAAAGGTTTTGCTCTAATTCGTATTCGTAATCTCTACCTCTTCCTTGCAAGCAAATGCTTCCGGAAAATAAAGTAAAAGGTACGGAGATTAGCGATTTTGACAAGATATGACTTGCAGAGTGCAATCAACGCGTATGTGGTCTGTAACTGTTGGGGTTGATCTTATTTGTCTCATAATTAAAAGCAGTTCGCACGTCAATTGATGTAAAGAAGATCCATCTAACTCATTTGTGCAGCTATTTTAAAGTGAATAAAATATTTAAAATGTCTGACACCGATAGTGAACAGGAAGTTACCGAAGATACCCCTAGCGAAATGATGTTTATCGCTGAAAAAGTCCAAGCATTTCCGGAGATTCTCAAGTCCCAGCGATTAAAAAGAAGAAAACTGCTGCATTAACTGATATCGTTAAGGAATACGTTACTTTATTTGGCAAGGAGATGGATATTAAAGCTTTTATGAAAAAAGTGAACAATATGAAAACGCGACTGAAAAATAAAACTGACAAAAATAAAACAGGGAACAAGCCCATTTGTCTTTTGTCCTGGGAGAAAGTTATGTTAAAGGCTATGGATGCGGACATAAATCCTGTACTAAGTCGGGTACCAGGTGAGAAATAGATTCAGGTCTTTACCTTGTAGGTACTTATCATGCATGTATATTTTTATTAGGGGCTCTTGCAATTGGCGTGGCAAGTCAACCTTCTTTACCTACTTCACAGGATGACATTATGGTGGAAAACGACGCTCATTAGATGATTATGGATCAAGTAGTAGCTAACAAAAAGCGATCCTACACATCGGTTGAAGAGATTGCTACAAAAAAATTACTCCGAAGCCTACATTTGCTTCGGGCAAACAAGAGTTTGACGATACGAGGCAGTTAACGACAACCCAGCTTTAACGATTAGTTTTAGTTGAACAACTGAAAGTTGCTCGTCTCAAACAACAATATTACTCTGCCAAGCTAAAAAATTTAAACAAGGCATCAAACGAATAAGCCCCGCAAGAGTATGTTGTTGTTGGAGATAATATTTACCAAAACTTGTATCATTTATAACAAAAAAAAATAATTAAACGTTTTTTTCAAGTTCAAACGTTTAAGTTTATTTTTAGTTTAAGTAAATACATCTGTGTACGTTTGAAGTAAACGACATATACATAGCATTACATGAAAGTTTTAATCCCAATTATACACCTATATTGTTGTAATAAGACGAGCTAATTCCTCTCGCCGCCTTTGTCCTTGTGCGCGAATAGCATCTACATTTTCATTCTCTATAAATGGCAAGTCCTGTTCTTCATCTTCGTCATTTTCTTGAAAATCTTCATCTCTTAATTGCTTAGCTATATTGTGCAACACAGCACACGCAATTATAACTTTTGGAATACTGGTCAGTTTTACTCTGCATCCATACTTCAGGATAGGAAATCGCCGCTTTACTTGCCCAAATGTATGCTCAATCACAACTCGCTCTGATGTAAGCAGCCTGTTAAAGACTCTCTGATATTCCTCGTGGGGGTCGGTGTAAGGAGTCATGACATGACATTTTACCATACCCACTGTCCCCTAGAAGAATAGTGTTTCTTGTCTTTTTCATGACTTCACACACTGCCGAATTTTTCCATATACGAGCATCATGGACTGATCCAGGCCAACTTGCACCTATACTAGTTATAACAGAATTCTGGTCGCATGTAACCTGTACATTAATACTGGCAAAACTTTTTCGATTTACATATTCGTCTCCAAATTGGGCTGATTTTCCATCAAGACGAATATGCGTGCAGTCTATAACTCCAATAGCTGTGGGAAAACGGAACCTGGTCAACCATTCCTCTTTGGCCTGCATAATTTGATTTTCTGTATTTGGGAAGCTGATAAATTCTCCGGCTTGTACAATTCGCTCTAGCACGTCATGAAATATTCTGGACACTGTGGGCTGCGAACATCCCAATTCTTCAGCTATTCCGCTCTGAAATCCAGGGTTCGCACAATATCGCAGAAATATTTTCATTTACTGCACAGGCGACTGGGCTGTTCCACGAGTTTCGAAATCCATGCCAAGAAAGTAATTTGCCAACCACACCACATTTTCCTCCTCGAATCTAAACAACGTCTTGAAATGTGACTCACGAGGTATACGTCTTGGTTTGTACGTAAATGCCCCACATTAGCCATAACTAACACAATACTGCGACTAATCAAGCAAAGATCACTTAAACAAGCCCTTACAAATAGATTTTATTAAACGAAAATGCACAAATTTTAAGATGCAGGCTCTAAGATGCCGGGACAACTACCAGAAAAGTTGCTGAAACCTAGATTCCTTTTTTTAGAAGCAAATCCTTTAGTTTTTAAGCAAATGCTTCTTTTTATAAATAAGAAAACGTTAACACCTTTTACTTTACAGAAGCGAGACCTTTTCCTTCACTTCTTTTCATGCATATACTTTGATGGAATTGCTTTATTTTTTGAAAGCAAAAGGTAAAACTTTTTTTTATAAATATGGACTATTGTATCTGTAAAAATTAGAAAAAATATTTCTACACAGGTGTTCCGGCAAACTGAACGTATGGGGCGTGAGACCAGGGCGAAGTAAATCGGAAAAGGTCCTCGAAGGCGAGAAGAAGATAACAGAAGCGCTGTGTCGTAAAGTTGAAAGTGCGGGTAGTGAACCGATAGTGGAGGTGCAGTTCGAGGTGGAACTGAAAGACGATCCGGTGCGCGCCGTGATCGCAATGAGCAAAATCAATGCGTACAGAAAAACGTTCAAAGGGTTCAGCGGATTCGTCTCTGACAAGTTGCATAGGTGGTTCAGGACATACGAAATGGAGCTGAACGCGGAGGCAGACTCACAGTGATTGGTACTTTGAAAAATGGTGGGGGGATGGTGCGTTCGTTGGCGGAAAATGACAGTGACCTCACTACCACTGTACTGTATCATACTAGGACTATTACTTCCTCTACTAGTTGGCCTAAAATATGCATATTCAGGCTTGGTTATTCAATTGCGAGTTAACTGCGACCTTTGACTGCTAAGCAGAAGGTAGCTCCCAGCAAGTTTGCCCTAAAGCGTGAAAAGTGAACTTCAACCAGAGGACCACGATAATTATAAATCTGATTAAACCGCACTGTCTAACCTAATGTGCTTGACAGTGACATAAGTTGTCGTGGATAAAACGAACATCGAGAAATGTATATAGAACACGATAATGCTGTGATAAAAGCAGCGTTGTCCCAGCAACGGGTTATGGATTTTTAACCAGAACTTGAAAAACGAATTTGCAGGAAATTGATAGTTAACTTCTACGGCCCGGTTTTCCAATCTCAAGTTTACTGTAGTTTGACTGTTAACCGAAAATTAAACCTCAAAAAGCGGTTTTCAATGTCAGGTTTGCACTGGTATTAAACTTTAACCAAAAAATAAGAAAACCAGAGGACCAGGTAGTGGTGAAATGGAAAGTTGTAGTTTCATCGCAATTTTGTCTGACAGTGACATGAGTTATCACGGATGATACGAGACACGAATATTGAGACGCACCGAACACGATAGTTTAAACGTAGATGGTCCCAGCTAAGTTGACCAAAATTTGAAAAACGAATTTTCTGGCAACTTATAGTTTGCTTCCAAGTAATAGTTACTCACCTTTAAAGTTAACTTGCGATTGAAAATTCGGGCCCAAGTCATAGTTAGCTAACATGACATTTAACCAGCGATTGACAAATTGAACCTCGGTATTCAATTTTTGATGTCGATCAGTATTTACTCGTTCGTTCCAACAGTATCTACTGATGGTTTCGTTAGTGTCTTAATCGTATATTTATGTATATCAAGAATTACTGACGTCCTTGCTACACACAGTAGTGTTCGCGTGACATTCGCTTAAAGATGTTATGGATGTAAGATGAATTTGCTGGTGTTTTGTTACATTACATTATGAAAATGCCATGAAAGTACATAGTTCTGCTCGAAAGGAACACTTACCATACGGGTATCGTACGGATTGCATACTATTAGTATAGTGGTTGAGACTGATCTGCTACGCGTCGTACTGGATACGATCTTAGTGGGTTAGGAACATAGCAAGTACGGCGTAAATCACGTTCATACCGAAAATGTTTCGCTGCACCCTCGATGTTTAGATGGATATTTCCCATGACGATTTCTCATATACAGGGTGTTCGAAAAGTAGGCGGATATATTTTTGAAGGTGAATCCTTGTTAGCAAAATATGAAACAAAGTTTCTAGAAACTTGGGTCCGGAAATGCAAGATACAGGGTGATTCTTTTTTTATTAATATCTTATAAAATATTTATTCAATTCTGTTGAAATTTGGCATTATTATCTGGGCCAATTTAGCACTTGATATATTACAATTATTAGATCTAGTGGCGTACCGGAGAGCATCTTATCGAATATTATTGGCAAAAAATGTAAGTGACTGCCTTTTTTGTAACTTTAATATTTGTTCTTTGATTAAGCAAAAATGCAACTTCATTGCCTCTTTTTGTATATTTTTCGTACCTCACTTCGTTTTCGAGAAAAAGAAATATAAAAACCGATTTCATGTTACTGGACAAAATCTGGTTTATTAATATTTGCACGAAACATCATTTCTGTATAGAGGTCTGACATTTGCTCGTCAGTTTATCTAGAAAATAATTATTTTCGTAATTTTATTAGTTGGTCAAAATTTACCCTGTATTTTGAAAACTCTGCATTTCCGAACCCATGTTTATAAAAACTTTTTTTCATATTTTTTAACAAGGAATCTTTAGATATCGAAGCACATATCTAGATTCCTAAAATTTGCAATTTTGCATATAAAAGAATGGCAATGCCGAACTGCTTTGTATTTTGGGCTATCGTCATTTCCATGTTCTTCCATTGGACAAATCATTTAATCAACGATTTTGATGGTGATAATTTATAATGTCGGTGAGAACAGGTATCATTTCAAAAAAAGGTATCCATACAGAGGTTGATTCGCTTTAAAATCCTTATATTTTTACAGACTTTCTCTCACTTGCGGCTTATATGCATCAGAAATATTCTTCGTCTTCTGATTTGAAGTCCTCCCAGAGTTTCTGTAACATAATGTACAGTATCAACTATGGTACTAGCTGTGTACATCATAAGGGTGAGGTTCAAATTTGTCTGAGGTCGTAATGTGTACGAGAGAGAAGCGCGAGGAGCGTGCAATATATAGGGTGTTCCATACGTTCCTTCTTTTTTTTAATCTAAAAAAAAAACATTTCTTATGAGTGAGAAACCGAACTCTTTATTGAAAATTGTAGGTCACTCTTTGCCATTTATGTATGGAATATAACATCGCTTATGTGTCCACCGCGGCTCCGTTCATCCGAACATCAAAATTTTCGATGACTTTGCAGTATTAGCGGGTCCACGGCCGCAATTTCGGCGCGAATGTTGCGCTTAAGGTCTTGAATCGTGCGTGAGGCAATCGCGTACACTTTATTTTTAAAAAATCACCAGAGAAAATAATCCAGTGACGTTAAGTCTCTCAATTTTGGATACCTTCCAATTATGGCAAAAAAAAAATCCGTTATCATACCAGCCTATAATCCGCACCAAGCAGTCACTTTTTGATCATGGAGTGGTGTTCATGGATCTCGTGTGGATTTTCCGAACCCCAGTTCTTCAGTTTTGCTTATTTACGTGGCCACTGAGGTAAAAATGTGTCCCGTCTGAAAATATCGTTTTAGCCAAAAATCCCTCTCCTTTTTCAAGCATCCAATTAACAAAAATACGTCGTTGCTGACGGTCCGCTGGCTTCAGTTGTTGAGTTAGTTGGATCTGGTATGGGTGTAGGTGGAAATCAACATGCAAAATCCTAGATAATGTTGGCCTGATGTCCAGTTCTTGCGAATCGTGTCTTACCGAAGTTGATGGCTGTTCATGTACCGGACGGGCATGTTAATCAGTTCTACGACATTCAGCTGAGCCAGTTTCCTCAAAACGATTGATAATCCACCGAATTCCACGCTCTGTGGGACGATTATGTCGATCAAATTCATCACGAAGTTTACGAAAAGATCGCCCGTTTTCGTAATATTTTTGGACGACCAAAATGCGTTCTTGCGTAGTTAAAGAATCCATAATAACAAATGGCAGACCTTTGACAGTTCATTTGTGCTGAATACATGGCAGATGACACATTTAACATTTAAAAAAATGGTAGTTGATAAAGGAAGCAACAGATGGAACACCCTATATATGTTAGAAAGAGTAAGCCAATGGCGCCCGTAGCCTCGGAACTAGGGCTGCTAGGCAACGCGCTGCTTCTATCTCTAACACATGTAACTAAGGTCACTTTTATACCCTCTTTACAATAACAGTGAATCAACGGATTTCTTCATGAATTGAGTTCATGGCCAAATTGCAAGAGGATTAAACAGGAATTTGACGTCAAATGAATCCATGAACTTCTTCGTGTATTCGTTCACGCAATTAAAACTAGTTCGAATTTTTGCCAAGCTGGACGTCAATTTCCATGCTGTAAAACTTGTTTTCCGTTTCATACTATTGAACAACTTTCAAATTCAAATATAGAACTTTGGTAGAGCTAACTCAACAATATGGTTTCTGTTTAAGGTTAAATACAAAAAAAATCAAAATGTTTTTAGAAAGAATTTGTTGGGTGGTTGGCAGCACTGTGTACAGATGTTCTTTGATGTAAACACAGCAGAACAATAAGCAAGATGACCCTGAAGAAATCTATCTCAATAAACTGTTGATGTAAACGGGGTATTGGGCAGAAACATTGATATTACCTTATGAAGTCAAATCTGTAATGAGAATACAGATCATTTTGCTTTGCTTTGTTGTATTGAATCTTACTTTCTATTCAAGTCTATGGCTCGTTCACGATGTATAAATGACAGTATTTTTATAACTATGCTAATTACTTCATTCATACAATCATAATCGATGCTTTGCAATTCTACTAATTTTTGAAATGTCAAGTTTAGTAGTTGGACGAGATAGTAAACAAATAATCATAAAATTTTCAATACTTTTAAAACATTTCTTGCTGAACATTTTTCAGTTTGAAACGAAACGCAAAACGAGTTTTTTGGCTTTGTTGCTTTATATCATAAATTTCGTTTCGCGTTACATGAATATTATTGGTTTTTGATTGAAAATTGTTGTAGTTCAGTATCCAGATCTTGAGACGCACATCAGTTTGGATTACCATTGTAATTTGATTATTTTTATTTTGATTATATTTTAATTCTTTTGACTTTGCCATTTTATACAAGAGCTATATTTGTGTCATTCCTCACCTTGAAGTAAATATATTACATATATGAATATAAGGTTTATGTAATTATTTATTTATTTCTCTTTCATTTAAGATATTTCGTGATTATGGTTTAATCTGAACCATATGATTGTTTGACTTTGAGGAACTTGTATATATTTATGAACACAAATGGTGGTTGGTGGAAAATATATGTATATTTTAGTAAGATATTTCGATTTATGTCACAAATACCACATACGTAAACGTTCACCTTTTTGGACATTTAAGTCACTTAAATGAAATGTCAAATGAGGTAAACATTAACGTTTACTTTTGCTGTATTTATGAATGTCAAAACGCAATAAAGCAGTGTTGAACTTTAAACTTTTTTTTTGTAGTAAGTGCCTTCGTCCCTCCTATGTGACTCATCAAATTAAACCACAGATGCTGAATAAATTACTTTACTAACGTTTCTAATTACTTTGTGCAAAACAACCCTCACAAAAACGTCGGCGCCACTAGTACTGTTGGCATTTATGGAATGTCATGATCGTTATCTGTTGTCGCGTTTGACATGTTAATAGATCATGGTAAATGGTACATCCCCTGTTAAGGTATACAATGAAAAGACGTTAGAATTAAAAGTTTTATTAAATTATCTTCTCATATTTTATACAAAAATATATAATACAAATTTTATTCTCTTAAAAATAAACTGTGATGAGATCTCCGTAAATCTTTCTATAAAAACTTTCAAAACGAGTATATACAATATCACAATTTCACAATAGAAAAATTACAATGCCGATTGCTAGCTTCGAGGCTTAAACCTTGACATGTAATACTCACAGTCTTGACAGTACAAGTTCGAAGCGACCACATTTTTCTTTCTGCACAAATTGCACTTTGTTTTATCCGTCGGAACGCTGTTGTTTGCGTTATTCACGATGATCGGCGTGACCACCGCTTTAGGAGTAGGCGATTCTGCTCCACCCTTAGTGCCTGGTTCGAAACTAACCGATTTCTTCAATATGTGTTTAGGCGAGGGCACCGGTTGATAAGGTGGGTACTTCTGTTGCATTTCTGGATCTGGGTGCATTGGTGGTACCCTCTGATACACCTCGTTTTGATACGGAGGCCTTTGATACACTCCGTTTGGTGGCACTCGTTGATAAACGAAGTTTTGAGGTGCCCCAGAAGAGTACTCATAACTTCTGTTGTGGTTCTGATCGGTTTGAGGCTGCGTGGGCAAAGCAGGTACTCTCTGATAAGGCGAGTTGTCATGCGGAGGCATGTACCCATGTTGCTCTGGTTGTCTGTTGTCAAAATCGCAAAGTTGGTTCATGCAACACTGATCGACAGGTGGTGGCGCGTATCTATTTTGAGGATAAGCCTGTTCCTCTAAAGGTCTTCTGTACATGTTTTGGGCGTTGATACAATTAGAGTTAGTAGATGGGGTAGGGGAAGGTGGGTACCGCAGGTACCCATTCATCGGGCTCGGTGTTGATTGCCTTATTTGAGCTGAGTACATCTGCTGATGAAATTGAGGACTTGGATGGTTCATTTTGTTGCCATAGATCGGAGAATTTTGAGGAACTGGTTGATAAGGAGACTGTCTGTATGGCGTCTGCTGCATATTCCATTGAGGGTTATGGCTATCCATGCAACATTGATCCAAACCGTTCGGGGGTTTGTATAGCAAGTACGGCCCATGGGGTTCTTGTGGCTGAGTATTGGGATTCCTAGGGTAAGAATTATGGCTTTCGTGCTGAGGGTGTACCCTGGGATTAGGGTAGTTCCCTTGAATACCGTATTGAGTATTTTGTACTGGGTTATAGTTTTGCACATGATTTATGTGAGAAGGAACATTGTCGTTGTACTGCTGATGAGGAATACTTTGTGGACCTTGGTTTGGATAATGTCCAGGATGTTGACCATATATTGGAGACTGGTGGCCATTTTGGGCCATAGGTGGTATTGGCTGAGGCTCGGACCTAGTCAGAATGTTGTCAAGGGAGTTTCTTCTAGGCTGAGCTGGAATAGGAGCTGGTTGAATAGGAGTAGTTTCCTCCATTTTTTCAGCAATACCATTTTGCAAGGACATGATTTCTTGCCTTATGGCAGCTGCTTCAGGTTTGTTCATTGCAGTTCTCAGCACTCTCTCCAAGATTGGATTTGGAATATACGCATCATCCTCTTGCTCGTCAGCAGTTGCTACTAAAATTACTTGATCACAGAAAGACACACTCTTCTTCTTAGACAACCTCTTCTTTTCCTCATCGCTATCTTTATTCTCGCCCAATGTCTTTTGAACTGCAGCATTGATCATCTCTACCTCTTGTATCTCCTTTGCTATTTGTTCTGGAGGTATAGTTTCTCTTGTGTTGTCTGGACCAGGTTTTTGCTCGCTAACCTCAAATTTCGAAGCGAGATCCTTCACAGATTTCTTCAGTTCGTCCGGTCGGTACCTTTGAGTATTCACAACATCTTGTCCAATTTGAGACTGATCTTTCTTGCTTTTCAGAGCCGCTTGCTTAGCTTGAAGCTCCTTTAACCAAGTGTCACCGCTTGGTTTGGTAATTATTGCTGCAAGATTGTACTTAGGAGATTCGCTCATGATCTCTTGACGTTTGTTTTGGAGCTCGGTGAGCAGAGTACTGGGCTCAGAAATAGGTGGGAGGTATTCGTCCAAAGCTGATAGATCGAGGGGTGGCGGTGGAGGTGGAAATTCCTCACTGCTCTGCCTGGAGTGGATGACGGACCCTAAGGGGCTAGGATATGGAGGTAGTTCACTTTGGACCACATGGGATGGAAGACAGTCGACTTCATCTACCCCTTCATTCTCAGCTGGAGACTGCTCTTGATGAACATCCGCTCTCGTCACGAAAGTAGTATTGAGGCTCTGTCCGTAGAAACTGTCGTCGCTGTGCGAACTGTTGTGGTGGTAGTACGGCAAGGAAGCAGGTGCTTGGTGATTGACATAATGGTACTCCTCAGCGTTCTGGTAGTACCCATATCCGGTGGACTTGTCGCTTTCGCTGTTTACTTCTTCGATGTCCAACTTAGACTTGCTAAGTTGCGAAGTGGTTCTGATTGGAGGTGGAGGTGGTACCTTGGCAGCTGTGAGGATCTTTCCGGCACTGCCATGGAAGCTCTTCCGCATCAGTTTGCTACGCTCGAGGTTTGGGTTCGGATTGCTGCCGACAAACTCTAGGTGGCCCTCCGATAAGTAGCCGCTCATCAATGGTTGCTTCTCCGGGGAACCTACAACAAATAAAAATGTTTTTTGAGATACAGTATTTATTGATTAGTATATTACGCTTCTGTTGAAGTATTCGTACATGGTTCACGAATAGTTGGGATTCAGCATGAACCCTGCAACACTGACTGAGATTTTTACGTTACTATAGTTTTTTTTTGTTGTTGTGAACATTATCGCATTGACATCGAGTGGTCTTGTTATTGATAGATACTGTTGTCCATTTTATTTGCCCTTTTGAGATATGATCACATCCAGAACTGTATAAGATGTATTTTAATTTCGAAATTTAGTTGATCTCTGATCACAGTTATTTCGAAAATTTCAAAATACTTATGAGCAATGCGTGCTTGTAAATCTCACCAAATGAAGATTATACGCATAAGTACTATCTTGCCATCAATGTTGTCTCAAGGCCACAAACTACATGCTAGTTCACGGGAATTCTAACAAACCAAAACATTTTGAAAGTAACTAGCTTGGCAAGATGTCAATAGATCGATGTCATTTAAGGTGTCGCTTAGACATGGCGTTTCGCGAGGCTCTCTTTAAAAAATAGAACACTTTCCAGTATATTAGATATATTTGTACATATGAATTAAAAAACCCTGGACTTAAGCGACTGAACAAATTTTCTTGTATCATATTCAACATCAAGTAACTTTTAAGAAAAAGGAAAATCAAAATCGGTCATGAAGCGCGGCGGTACAGCGGTGGAATGTTAGTATTTTGATAAATATTTTTTTGTATAACTAAACAGTTCAAAAGTTCCATTTAATGATTGTATGTATTAGCAATATCGTTAGTACAAAAATGGTACTCACCATTTAGTCCAATCTTGCTGTCATCCACCGTAACGCTAGGTGGCGCTTGCGGGTCACCAACTGCATTTGCATCTGTCAAATCAGGCATGCTCCTATTCTTCCTCTTTATCAATCCACCCATCAACAGCTTCCTACGAATTTTGTGCTGCTTCTTCGACTTCGTCTCCTTATCCTTTTCTTTCTCTTTCTTCTCCTTTTCTTCTTTCTCTTCCTTATCCTTCTTCTTTTGAGCTTCTTTTCCTATAGCGATCTCCGGCCCTATGGAGAAGTCCTTTGAGATCTTGCTTCGGTCTTCGCTCCTGGATCGTTTTTCTCTGACCTTGGGCTCTTTCGACTTTGACCTTGAGAAGATGGACCTGGACTCCCGACCAGCCGGTTTGTTGTATAGCATGTACTCGTCATCTATTGTTGTGACCGGAGCTCTGTTTTTAGGAGAGTCACGTTTTTTGGGCAAGGTGGCGTAGATCTCGATGTTTTTAGCGACAGGGGATTTTTCTTTTTCCGTAATGAGCAACTCTTTGCTGTTCTGTCTGGAGTGGTTGCCCTTATCCCTGGAATCAAAGAAACAAATTAAACATATGTTTTTCGTAGTAACAAAACAAATTAAAATTTGCCCATTAATCTCTGTCTAATGTGAGTTAGTCGAATCAGTCAGTCTTGGTTGCCCAGAAACCAGACAATGTCAAGGAAAAAGAAGAAAAAAGGAGAATAGCAAAAAAAAAACAGAAGTGTATTAGTTTACGAGGAAACATCTAGTTTTTTTGACTTGGTACACGGATTAATTTTGATACTAGTTTTGTTAGAGTGTAATTTTGGGTTTACTAAAAGTTGCGATAATTTTCTGATCACACCGCGAGCCGTGGCCTTGAATGTTTACGAACTTGCTTCACTGTGTAGTCCACTGAGTCACGCAACAGAGGATTACTGTGCGATTCCGCTTGACTATAACGTCGCTGCGCCTGAAGCTTGACATAGTCCCTCAAGTAAAGTATGTTAAGGTTTCTGTGTCAGGTCCGTAAGATCTTTGCTCTTGGTTAAGGCATTGTAGGTCAGTAGGTCTGTCAGTTTTGGTTTCTGAGATAACAGGCAAAGAAGGAAAGAAGACAGAATAAAAAGACGGGAAAACAAAAAACGAAGAAGTGCGTTGGTTACAGGTGCGTCTTGGAACTGGAAGTTAATCTTAGGAAATTAATTTTGAGGTTTGCTGTTACGGAAAAATTTAAGGTTGGGCCTAGAATGCACGATTAGATTTTGTATGCAACGTTGTGTTCTACAGAACCTGCCGGCCTCGAATACCGTAAGTCACAAATTTTCCTTCCTTACCTAGAATTCTGTCTGGAATGTCTCCCGCTCCCACTACTTCCCTCCCTAGTATGCCGAATCTCCACTGGCGTGTCCTTATTCGCAGCTTGCGTCTGAGTCATCCTCCTGTGCAAACTCCTCGCTCTCATAATACAAGTGTTATGCTTCATCCTGGCGAGGGTAAGCGTCTGTGGGTTGTTGTACGGCGCGTTCATCGCAGCACGTGCCTTGGTGGCAGCAGCATTGCAAAGGGCCAACGCCAGTACCAGGTCGTGCTCGTCCTCCAGCTGCCTGCTCTTCACCAGGAGTTCGTCCGCTTCGTCGCAGAGGACGTCGCAGCTTTGGGTGATGGGCTAGAATGAATAAATTATTATACCATATACCATTTATTGACCACTTTATATAAATATTGCTTAGAGACCCTCATATGAGCATTTTCTCCTACATGAAGATACAAGTTCCTGAAGGACACCACTAGGTATAAATTGCCACTGTACGCAGGGTGCTCCCAAAATATGGGCAAAAACATTATTGTCGTCACATCCCGTTAATGCATGAGCTACGACGAAAAAAAAAATAATCCGAAATTGCATTTCTTGATACCAAAAACCACGTGTAAAATTCCTGAATCTACAAGAAGTGTTCAAAATGACTTCCAGTTAAAATGTAAAGGTCCAACCGCCTTCTCTCTGGAGATATGTCACATGTTCAGTGGAGAAGTGCTACGCCTTGAAATGGATGGAATTTAAATAAAAAAATCATCGATCACGCTATAGGTGGGGTCTTCGTCCTCGTAACAACTTCCTTGTGATACTCTCACTAGCATGATGAAGTTGCCAAATGAAACTAGATAGGTAATGATTCTATTGTCTTGGTCTTGTAATATTGAAGATATTTTAATTTATTTTGAATAGTTTTTTGTCGATTAATAGGTTTTGAGTGTTTTTTCTAGTAAAAAATTTAATCGAAAATTTTCGTCCTCCTGCATATACGAGGGTGGTCTGAATAGTTTCCGACCTCAACGTCACCAGATTCAGCCCCCTCGGATTATTTTCTGTTTCCAAAATTGAAAAAATGGCTCAGTGGTCCAAGATTTTCCAACGCTGAAGAAGTGATGTCGGCAGTTAATGGCTATTTTGAGGAGCAAGACAGTTCTTATTATAAAAAGGGTATCGAACTTATTGAACATCGCTGGGAAAAGTGTATATAGCTCGAAGGAGATTATGTTGAAAAATAAATACATTTTTTTACAAAAAATTTGTGTTTTCTTCGTTGGGTCGGGTACTTCTGGGAGCGCTCTCGTATATTTTATTTATCTGACTTCCGGGTAACACCTCGTTTGTTATTTCACATGTGGCTTGGATTGGCCAGAGAAATTTGGGGGATTGTCGACAAGAACACCACAGGATACGAGTGAGCTTCAGATATATTAAGCCTGAATTTTTTAGATAAAAAATTGATTCCTGTTCAGCATTGATAAAATGAGTCTTCTTTTGAGATAAGCAGACATTGATCACATATTAGAAACCTGATTTTTCACAATCTGTGCCGAAACCAACCTGCTTATCAAACGATAACTGTTCATCGACACCAAATCTAAAATATCCTATTCTACATACCTGTTTAGTCTGGGTGTTGTAGTCTTCAGGGATCTTGGCCAGATGACCCATCTTTATGAGGTGTTGGAGGGTCGTCATGGTAGAACTGTCATTCGAAGATAGCGAGTAAGAGTCGTAGCCTGCGTCGTAAACTCCGCTACTGCCACTTGAGGAGTCGCTTTTGAGGCGAGTTGGACTGCCTGGCACATGGGGTACCTAGAAAGAACGTTTAGAATTACTTCAGTTTTAGTCTTTTTGCTTATAAAAACGTTTAACCAATAACTCAAATTTTAAATAGTCCGGTAGTTAGGGCATACAGGCCAAATTACGTTCGAGAAACATGTGCATTGGCTCATACAACTTAAGGAAGCCTACCTCATCAGGTTGACAAGTTTCATGTAGCTTGGTGAGATTGTCTCGCAAGCACCTTACCTCTCTACATGCCACCACTTGTTCTAATTTCTCCAACTGGGGCAGAACGCCGACCAAATATTTTTGCTTCCACTATAGTACAAATTAAGTTTTTTAATAAACTAGCTACAATGACCATATGCTTTTCCCTATGATTCTATATAAACTAAAATTCTCAAATCGCTTATGAAAAACCGATATATATTTCTCACCTTTCCGACGAGGTACAGGTACGGATTCTCCATAGTAGTTGAAGACGCAGACGATGCGCTGTTCCTGTCTCCACTCCAATTCCCGCTATCCCTCCTCCTAGGAATATTCATATGATCCGAAATTTCCACACCAGACGAAGACCCACTGCTCAGTGTTCTGTGAACCCCAACGTACGGTTTGCCGAAATCCAATGCCTTCTTGGCCATGTACTCGGAATCGGCCTTCCTACCATCGACCATGTCGGTACCACCTCCATAGGTGATCGTCTTCTGGATTACTGAGAGGTTCTGGTACTCGTTGAGGAGTTTGGGGGGCTTGACGGGGCTACCATCGGGGTTTGGCGTTATGGCACGACGAGTAGTACCTAGAAATAACAACCTTATGAGATTTCAGCCTTCAGAAAAGGTTTCACAATATATGGTGTTACTTTCATGAACATTTTTTGTAGGTACTTTTAACACGCCTAGTCGTACTTATTTGGGAAGAGACTTTTCTGTCAAGGAAACGTTAAACAACACAGTTCCTCGCAAATACCAACTGCAAATCACATGCAAGAGAAGCAAGTTATCATACTGACAGTGACAAATAAAAATGCGGAAGACTCATACGTTGAGAAAAAACTAATGTATGAGTGAGATCAATGTATGTTAGAAATTTCTGTAGTTTTACTGTGACCCGCCAAAAACCATGAAAAGATTTCTTTCAGTTACCAAGAAATGGTCACCAGATTTTCGCAATAAAAGTTTAGAAGAATTTTGAGATAATACGTGTTCTTCCTCAAATTACTCAATATATTCGTACCTATTGAAGGTTTTTCAGGACTGGGTGTGATGGACCTCCTCAAAACCGATTGCGGAGGCTTTTTCTCGTTGTACATTGGAGTGATGTGTTTTGGTGCTGATTCTGTATTGACAGGAGTTCCATCTGGCAGAGCATAGAGCAGCAATAGAGGTTGATACCTGAAAAACAAAGTAGTTATGAGGAACGATATAATAGTATCTGGAAATTTTGAACTATTAAATACTTTATTCTCCAGCCTTTTGCACCGCAAAATAAATTTTTAATTCAACCTCGACCAAAATGAACATAGGTTCATTTTCAAGGATTTTAATACCAATAAAAAGCCAGTATTTTGCACCCCCCACTTTTCATCTATCAGCCGCCGGTATCCGCCCCCCCCCACTTCCTAAGTCCGCCACTGCGAATAGAAAACTTCATTGTTATGCTTCGTGCATAGAAAATTAAATAATCATTTAAGCTCTTCTGTGCACTTTTAGCAGCGTGTTAGTCTGTAATTGCAAATTCTGGTGTACACGTTTCAAAATCAGAATAATAAACTGCTGCATTTTTCGATGTTCCTTTAGAACGTCGAGTAATGTTTGCAAATCGTTATCTTCCTCGTAATAAATCATCACCTTAACGGAAATAACTTCAAATCACGCTTGTTTTGATCATGCCATAACCAGTTTTTATGACGTATATGCATTTCATTCATCCGGTACCGCTAATATCCGCGTATTAAAGTAATCATCTCCAGTTAGATCCTCTTCGGAGAAAACTTTTTAACTTCCTTGCATCCGGGCTCCTTCCGAAAACATACAGGGAGACCCAAGCAAGAAAAGACTTGAGTTTGTGGACATTGAGATGATCTATATACTAAGTGACATATAAATCCGAACACCCAGTTTAAATGGTTTTATTTTAATAAAAGTTGGTGAATGTATTTATCTTACTGTAAATAACAAGTGAAAAAATTTTCAGCCTTATCAGTTGGACATTCCGGTTTTTATACTGCTTTTTTTTAATTCACTAACACTCTAAAAATGAATATTTCAGCGGCAGTAAAGAATCAACGTTGGCGGATTTTGGTTCTTGACATCCTTTACGATCGGTTACGATGCCTAGAGTACGGAGACCTGTACGATTTCGTCAACTTAGTGAGTTTGATAGGGGCCGTATAGTGGGACTTCGGGAAGCTGGACTTTCTTTTCAGGCAATTGCAGTTAGAGTGCAAAGAAGTGTAGACACTGTGGTTAGGTGTTGTCAGGCATGGCTTCGAGAAGGCCGTACGCAAAGAGCAAGGGGCGCTGGACGCCGCCGTAGAACAACAGACCGTGAAGATCGCCGCCTAAGATTATTGGCCTTAAGGGACCGTTTCTCCACTACCAGGTCCATTGCAAATGAATGGTTTGCAGAACACGGAAGACCTATTGGCATGCGAAGTGTTTACCGACGAATGAGAAGTTTTGGCTTGTTTTCATATCGGCCACACTGGGTCCTCCCTCGAGAACACCGACGTAATCGCCTTGAGTGGTGCAGACAACGGTCACTCTGGGATCAGGAATGGAGCAGTATTGTCTTTAGTGTCGAGTCTCGATTTTGTTTAGGCATGCACGATGGTCGTGCCAGGGTTAGAAGGCGACGTGGTGAAAGGAGGAATCCACAGTTTTTTGTTGAAAGACATGTTCATCACACTGTTGGAGTTATGGGTTGGGGTGCTATAGCTTATGGTTCCAGGTCACCTTTAATCTTCATCAGAGGTAACATGAACGCGCAGCGTTATATCCACGAAGTTCTAGAACCCCATCTTTTACCCTATCTTGACACCCTGGCAGATCCAACTTTCCAACAAGATAATGCCCGACCACATTTTGCAAGAGTCACAATAGAGTTCTTTCAACATAATGATGTCACATTGTTACCATGGCCACCAAGATCTCCCGACTTATCCCCAATTGAGCACGTGTGGTATATGATGGGTAGCCGATTGCTCAATTTGCAACGTCCTCCTCAGACTCTAGAAGCACTTCGAGAGGAGTTGGTGGTTGCCTGGAATGAGATACCACAGGAGGACATTGACCACCTGATCAGAAGCATGCCTAGGCGCGTTGGAGAATGCGTAGCACATCAGGGTGCATCCACACATTATTAAAGGTCAAAGGGCTTTAAAGCAGTGCAATCATTTTGAAATTTTTATCATTTACTTATTATGCTTCATTAAGTACTTATACAAAATTTTATTAAAATAAAACCATTTAAACTGGGTGTTCGGGTTTATATGTCACTTAGTCTATATTCGGCTATTTTGAGAGGAAATTGTGAAACTGGCAAGCGGAGAATAAGCTAATGATTTTGTCAACAGTTTTACGTTTTCATCATATAAAAGGTGTCTCAATAGGTACCTTTGTTTTTTAATAAAACCAGCAATTTCCGAAACATATGCTTGTCCCTACTATCAGATTATCGTGAGTTATATTTTATGAATGATATTCTCCAAACGCTCCCCTTAGCTGTTTCTGTAGATGACCATTTCCCGACTATAATTTTCGATCAATTTTTGGCAAAATAGTGGCTCAGTAACGTGAAAAATTAGGTAATTAATGTTTCGCCAGTTATTTCAATAGACTTTATCCTTATAATAGCACCAAATTTAAATCCCACCATACCTTATGGAGTACACACAAAAAAGAGCCTTTGGTTCAAGAACACGGGAGTCACAGGTAGTTGAAATATCATTGATCATCAAGATATATAGATCGCACAATCAAGAAATGGACCTTAGTAAAGAAATATGCCTCAGACATTAAATTAATTGAAAAAGGATAACTTTTTATATATACCCTTTACTAAGAGTAAACTTACCTCCCCTTTCTGCACTTCTCAACCACCTGATCCCACCTAGGTCCAACCTCTCTCACATTAGCATCGTCAAAGTATATCCAAACCTTCAGCTTGGTGTGGAAGAAGAAGGTCGAATAGTGCTTGCCATAGTACGTCACCACGCCCACCAAATGGTGCAGGGACGTATCAGCCCATTTGGAGTCAACCACGCTGGTGAAGACGTCGTTCATGCGCAACGTGGTGCCTATGGTGGAGAACACCTCCATGATGTGCTCCAAGGTGGGTCGTTCGGAGTTCCATACGAGGCCTATGGAGACGATTTCGGGGCGGTTCGTTAGGGTTCGGGTTACTTGGATTACTGCGCCACAAGAGCTCTAAAAAAAAAAAAATAGAAAAATTAAGTCAAAGCCTAGTCTGAAGTCCTATGTACAAACAATTGGCATGCCTCAACGGATGATTTAAATTTAGCAGAATACCTACAAATGTAGGCTTTGGGCATTTAAGGTGACGCAGAAACTAAATTGGATTGTACGAGGATCTTAATTATTTTCAATGTAACATGTTTGTGATAGACTCTATGGAAATAAATTTCCTGCTTAAGTTTATGAGGTCAGTATTTTAGTATTTCTGTAATTGTTGGGCTCTCGCAGGGGGGAGTGGTTCCGAGAGGTCCGTGGCCCACTCTAAAATTCAGGTTAGCCCAGCATAGTCTTGTGCACCATCAATATTTTCATTATTTGTCCCCCCCCCCCTGAGAAAATTTGCTAACCCCCGCTCTCTAAAAAGATTACACTTTCACTAAAATCTGCCTTTTGCGATGACTGTTCCCTCCCCTTGCAAAAATTCCAGCGTCCGTTCATGTGCTGCTTACGGTCAGTTTTTTAGTATTGCTATAATCGCCTTCCTTTATGAAATAAAATAATGTGGATAATATCCATAAAACAAAAACCACAACTTCATCAGTCAAATGCTTCAAACGTGAAACGGCAAATTTCTTTTAAATTTTGTGGTACCGTTTTAGTGCCTCTAGTTTCATACAATCTGTTAAACATTTTTATAAAGTTTCTAGTACCATACAGAGTTTCTCGTAAGAGCTAGTGTAAATGTTTTTAGAGGGATTCTCTCAAGAACAAAACATTAGATTTTATTCACACTAGGCGACATGTATCGATCCATTTTTTATCCTCCAACCACCACGAAGGCCTAAGCACCGGTGGATAAGGGGAAACAGGTGAAATACACACATTCTGGTCCCGCTTTGGAGATCCGCCGGGTGGTACCATCACGTTCGATCATTTGAAACCGTTTACCACCTACAGATAGTAACATCCATAGTCAACGGAAAACTTATCTTAGGACGTGATTTAAATTCTACCACTATGCCACTGTTCTGCCTAGACTGGATTAATCGTATAACATTTCAGACATCCCTATAAATCGTGACCAAGCGCAAACACCACCTTAATGGACTCTCGGACAGCACAAACCCCGTTCGTAGGCCTCCTCTGTGCCCCGACTCACAAACATAGAAAAAATCTTCAAAATTACATAACCTATCATAAGCTCTATGATTCAGAGTTCTTCATATGTAAGTTTTGCGAGAATGGATTAACAATACTGATCCTACGGTCACTGAGCTGAAAACGAGGTAACTAGGACATTTGAACACCTATACGAAAAATGATTCACTTTTAACAGAAATGGTCGAAAGTGGATTTATGGCAATACCGAAATTCCATAATAGTTATATCAGAGGAATTTCCGAAACATGTCTTTTCACTTGAAGTAAAACGTAAAACTTATAGTTCCGTCCAAAAAATAAAAAATGAAAGTGGACATACAGTTAGGTATTTCCCGTCGCACTAATTACTTCTAAGAAACATCAATTCTTATACAAGGATATGTATGTACACGTGATTACACGCAATGCAGAATGTGTCTCTACATCTCGGAAAACAAAGTCAAAGTATTACTTGATTGATTTGATGAGCTATTGGATCATATGGCACAAAAAATTAAGTAAGTAATGAAGGAATAGTTTCACCAAGAGCATCTACGATTTACAAGACTTACCGGGCATTGTCGAACATCTCCCATGTTTGCAGCTTTCTGTAATAGCCGACCAAATGTAACGGGTGAGCCAGTAACATTGGCTCTCACTTGATAGACCAACGTAGAGGTGGAAACGTAATGAACCATCTGAAACAAAAAGCAGTTTAAGCATCTAAACAGGGTATTGAAACACGCATTTCTAGGTTCCACGTCATGCATAAGATTGATGAGAAAAAGCAAAAAATGTACATCTTGGTGCGCTCGACGTGAATAAAGAACAAACTTTCTGCAGCTGCAGCCTCAAGATCATCGTACTTATATCTAGTCAGCCATGACTACCATCCTCCTCCTCCTTCTCACTAAAACAACAAACGCGAATAAAATACCGGCCCGACATCCGATCCCTGTGGAACACTCACCTGAGTATACGTCATAGCCTCCCCACCACCTCCACCGGTAGCGCCGCATCTCTGGCATGCGGCTCTCTCCTCAAGCCTCATCGCAAACTTCCTGTGGGGCACGCAGTGCTGAGCAGCGCATTGCTCCTCGGACTGTCTGTGGGCCAGATGAGCGTGGACACGACCCAGGATGTTCTCGAAGCATTCAGCAGCATCGTCCATGGCGCCCAATCGGAACCTTCGTTGGTCGCTGAAAGTGTCAGCGAGGGCACGGCGAAGGGCATCTGGAGCCAGGGCTGACTCTCTGGAGGTCTGAAGCTGGCCGAAGAGCTCCTGGAAAGAAAGAGAATGTTTTAACGTCGTTTCAATCGAATCAAAATTTGTCCAGGGTATTCTATAAAAAAGTTTGCTCCCATTTTTCGAAGACTTAGACATTTTATATCTATTCTATTCTAAAATATTTCTCAAACTAGAGAAAAGTATACGAGTTGCCCCTAATTCATATAATGTGTCAGCTGGTTTAGCTACAAAAGCATATTCTTTTCATTTTTCACACAACACAAGGTTTGTGAGCGAGACGGAAATTCGACCAATGAAAAAGAAGGATTTGCGATATAGTCGCAAATTCCACCTGTCAAAGAGAAGCATTTGCAGCCTGTTGGGCACTTGGATCAAACTATATGCAATAGGCTGACGTGACACTAATAACTGGATATAAAGGATATTTTTAACAATACAACAACACGTGCATTGAGGTTAGCTACAAAAACCTATTTTTTCCTTTTATAGTTTGTATCAGGTCATTCAAACTAGATCACTGACTTTTGTTCTTGCTGTATAAAATTCTGCTTAATAAATACTTTGAGGAGATGAATATCGAATAAATATTTAATTTACTTAACTGTGCGAAAAGCCCTGTTTCTTTCTAACTACTTTTTTGGTCAACTTGTCTTTAGAGCTAATTTTCCTGGACTAACAGCCAATACTGCTCTCGCCACGGTCACGTTGGCAAGGTACGGTTAGAGGTTAGAGGTTAGGTAGTCTCTCCACCCTCCAGTAGAGGACGCCACCAGTTTTCTGTTTAGACCGGTTAAATAAAAATTATTCTAACTAAACACTCTTAGACACACTTTTTAAACAAAGACGATCTGGCATGAGGAAAACGACTATTTTATGAAAACAGTGTGTGCAATTTTTTTGCTAAAAAAAGTCTGAATAGCCTGAATCGTCGAAACAGGGAGTTTCTAAAACCCATGCTTATTCTTTTCATATTTTTAACTGGATGGAGCCTGCCATTGACTTTTCTTGTCAACATAGCACACTGTATAAACCGATACATACATAAAATCCAATGCCGGACTGTAGTTTGTGAAAAATACTATTATTTTAATATTCTCTAACTTACAGGGTTTGTCCTGAAAGTAATAGGACTCATTTTCTTCCGCCATGACTGTACTTCGACTGGATTCGGTAGAGGGCGTTCCTAGCTAACGAATGAGCGGCTGGTTAGTTGTCTCCGAGCACTTGGAGAGTCAGGATAGGCATTTTCGCGCCACGTGTTTCTGTGAGCGGTGCAAGCCGAAAATGCAGCGTTTGTTAGAGCAGAGGTACGCGATTACATTCTTCTTCAAAGTTTTGAACTCAGACCGTCGACTAAGTATTCGTTTAATTGCCCAGATGTTAAATTTACCAAAATCGGTGGTTCATGACATTGTGACACAGCATTTGAACATGAGCAAGGTGTGCGCGAAGATGGTCCCAAAAGTGCTCACTGACGACCAGAAATTGCGGCGAGTGGAAGTGTGCCAAGAAAATTTGAACATGTATGAAAGTGACCCCCAATTTTTGAATAACGTAATCACAGGTGACGAGTCGTGGATCTTTGAGTATGATCCCGAGACAAAGAGGCAATCTTCCGAGTGGCACACGACGGCGTCTCCTCGCCCAAAAAAGCAAATCCAAAGTGAACACGATGCTCATTGTCTTATTTGCCATCACAGGCATCGTCCACCATGAATTTGTTCCTCCTGGACAAACCGTCAACGCCAAGTTTTACATGGAAGTGCTCAGGAGACTCAAACCAAGGGTCAGTCGGGTCCGACAAGACATCGCAGCCGTCTGGAAGTTGCACCACGACAACGCCCCGGCTCACACCGCCTTTCTTGTGAACAGCTACCTGACCAAGGCCGGCATCCCAACGGTTCCGCAGCCGCCCTACAGCCCAGATGTGCCCCCCCGGACTTTTTTTTGTTTCCCCGCCTGAAAAGGCCGATGAAAGGCAAGCATTTTGAGACGACAGAGGGGATCCAAGCAGCATGCACCGCGGCTCTCAAGGCTATTCCGGAGAATGCCTTCCGTGACGCCTTCAATGCTTGGAAATCGCGCTGGCAGCGCTGCATCGACGCATAAGGAGCCTATTTTGAAAGTTTTTAAAGAATTGTAACGATTGGCTCAATAAAATTTTTTAAATCGACTCAGTCCTATTACTTTCCGGACAAACCCTATATATCCCACCCAAGCTGTTTAGAACACAGATTTTGTTATACAAGAATCTGAAAAATAGTCACCTCAGATTGATGCAAATTACTCTTCCATAATTTCGTCAATGTTCTTATCATCAATCTCATTGCAGTATTTTTAAATTAATTAGGCACCATGAATTATTCATATTTCAAGCCTACTGACTAAAACCCATCGAAAAAAAGCCATGGGAAAAATTTCCCCAAGTAGTCGTAGTCTAATAATCTAAAAGTAATCTTCTTCCAAGGGCAGGCTTAATGAGCAGTTTAATATCAACCATCTCTTCATAATTTGCCCTGATTACAGTATGTTTCTAACACGAAATCTGCTGCACCTGGCGATACAACTTGCAATTAAACAAGACCTGTGATCTCCGACCCTTACTTCAAGTAAAAATCACACATACATTACATAATGATGAAGAGTGTAAAATATCTTCGACCGATTTTTAATTATACTTTCTTTGAGTTTAATAAGCGTCTTAGTGTTCAGATATTATTAACTGATATAATTTCTTGTGGCTAAATCCCAAGACCTGGCGATTAAAATTTTGTGGAATAAGATAATGTCTGAACTATTATGTTTAGAATGATGGAATTGAGTAAAAGAATTGCATCAATTTCATTGATTTAGTTCATAGTGAGATTAATGTGTGTTCGGATTCTTTATCTGCGCAAGGATGCAGATATGTTCAAAGAAACATATGGCACTTCGGAAACAGTTTATTGTCATGATAATGCAATAAAGTGTACTACTGTATTACGAACACTAACACTAAGGCGTACGGTTGCGAAATATCATCGTCTGAATGGCGACCGAATGTCCTTACTATTTCTTTGTAGAGCGACAAAGAGATCAACATACGGACACGCTATCGAAAAAAAAAACGATTGCATACGAGGCGGCTCTTAGCATTTTCGGACAGCTTGTAGGTGTGGGTCGTAAGTTATTACGTCACTTTTTATTTTCGAGCTGTAATTATAGATACAGTGGCATACGCGGGTTTTGATAATCGCAAACGAGGCCTAACTGCGGAAGGAAATATTTTGAGGTGTTACTTTTTGGAGAAAAGGCTAACTTCGCTCAGGTTTTGTTGGATCTGCTTTTTTAGAAATAATTGGATCTTCTCAGATTTCTTTGGATATTCTCCGACCTCATTACACCTCCACAAAAAAAAAAGAAAAAAATGGCGTGAAGTAGATTTACTCTATACTTCTCACGGCTTCGAAAGAATTTCTAGTACAATTTTGCATGTACTGCAAAAAATATGTAAGTTTTGTGAGAAACATTAGTGCACTATTTGGGTATTTTATGAAAAAAATCGTCAGATTGCAGCAATGCGCTTGTGGGTACACGGTAGCATCATTTTTTTGAAGCTTTGGTGTAAGCCCATAGTCCTTCTATATATCGATAATATCGCGCCCACCTCGTATGTGAATATCGCATCACCGACTACCTGGTTTTTCTCGCGATGAATCTACGGAACGCTGCTATAACTCGAGATCGAGAGCGCCAGCGATGCCGTCATACGCAGGGCTTGATGCATAAAGAGAGAAGTTCCGCGCCCCGCGACAAACACATAAGAAGCGTTTATAGATATTTCTTCAAGTTTTAAGGGTATTAATATACTAATATCTAAAATTGCGGTATATCCTCCCCACCCCCCAGTTTTTCACTCCTTAACATTTTTTCACAAATGATCAAGACCATCTGAAATGTCAAAATACCACTGGACGCCACTGGTCCGTTTTTTTTAAAACTGCAACGCTGGGCTGGAATGGCAACAGAAACGGCATTGCATTGGGACTTCCCCATTGGGATAAAATACCGTTTAAAAACGTGCGGGTGTTTTCATAACTTTATTTTGGATTTCTATTGATGCTTTCCCACTTGTCGATAGACGGACAGCAAGGAACTTTTTTTTATTGCTTAGCGATGACCAATCCTAATCAGCCTGATGCAGATGACGACAGATCCAGCCACAGATCGGGCCTAGGTGGGCATATCTAGCCAATATTGCCATTTGGATTTGTGCATTATTAGTGGTAACACCCTGTATAGTATTACTGTACGCCCTTTCATCATCCAATGTATGACTAGCAAAAAGAACTTTCTTCAGCGATCGACTGATTGCATGTATCTGATCTAGTCGAGAGCGTACATATACATTATACATGCGCTTTCATGTTACGTGATTCTAAATTGGACTGCCTAAGAAAAACGTTTAATTATAAGTTTTAAATAGAAATGTTTTACGGCAGCACGTGATTCAGGAGTTTTAATGAACAACAGCCAAACATAGCTAGCGTATTTGACTGGGAATTGACCAAATAGTCAATCAATTATCTTGATCTGCGATGGTGTTATTGTCGTTTACAATATGTCGTTATTCTGGAAATGGATATGCCATTCGAGGTGATATTCTGCTTGAATTAGTCAATACATCCAAAATAGAACTTTGAAAACTTTTTCCTTCCGACCAAGCCGATTGAATACCTTCACAAAGAAATAGGATATCAAAATGAGGTAAGATTCATTTCAAACTGTTAATCCTTCCCAATCCGTGGCGGACACAGAGGAGTGTCCTGGGGGTCCGGAATATTGAACGTGTTTTTCTCTTTGCAGATGACCCCGCGTTCTTCAATTTTCAATCGTTAATAGATGGACCCTCCCCCAAAATAGTTTCCAGATCCACAATTGTTCTTAATAGCAGTCGAGTGTACTTTCAAGTGAAGAATGCCAAAAAATGTACAGGCTTGAAAATTGCACTGTAGGAATGCTTGAGTCCAAAAAAGTGATTCATTGATAATTTC